AAAGGTGAAATGCTCGAGGGCGTGGCCCCTCCAGAGCACAGCTGCTGCCACCGTTAGGAGCTGCCGCCGAGCCTGGACACGGGGGTGTCGCCTCCCGTGCAGCGGGGGCTGGGGGACACCCGTGCAGAGAGGTTCCCCTCTGGGTTCTCGCCCTGCTCCCCAGCCATCCCTCACGTGCGGTTGGGGCGGGGCCCCCTTGTCCTCGGTGGGTTCCTTGGTGCAGTGGGCTGGGGGCCGGGCGTTCAGGGGCGTCCCCGCCCTCACACCGCGCACCCCGCGCTCCCCCAGGCCTCCCCTGCAGGGCCTCCCGCCCCCGACGGCTTCACTCTGGCTTCTCTTCTGCGTGGCGCCGGGCGCTGTCTGTGCCTGTGCGTGCGCGCCCCCGGTGCCAGTGTAGGGTTTGAGCTCTGCGTGCGCCCCGTCTGCGTGTTTGTGCCCGTGGGTCGGTTTGTGCGGAGTCTGTGCGTGTGTGCGTGGGTCTGCGCGCGCGTGCAGGAATTTGGGGCGGTGCGGACCCCTGGGGCGGGGGCGGGGCTGGGGGCGGGGCGGCTCCTCGGGCGCCTGAGGATTTGGCCTTTACCTGCAGGGGGCGGAGGGAAAGCGGAGAACAGAAAGGCGAGGGGCGGGCGCGGACGCAGAGCGGCTCCCGGCTGCCGGAGCGCGCTTGGAGGCTGAACGCTTCTTCCGAGCCCCCAGCCAGACCCAGAGCCCCGCCCGGGCGTCCGCGCTCGCGCCCCTCATGGGGCAGTCTGGGCGCCGCGGCAGGCTGGCCGCGATCTGGTGCCTGGCGCTCCTCGGGGGCCTGGCGCGCGTCGCGGGCACGCACTACCGCTCCCTCTGGAGGAACTGCTACCCGTGCTACCTGGGCCAGGTTGGCCACCCTGTGAGCACCGCTGACCGGCGGCCAGGTGGGCGCCGGGGCAGGGCGGGCGGGACCGGGGTGCCAGCTGGCCTCGCCTTTGTTCCTTCTTTTCAAAGTTTGCGCCCGGCGGCTGACAGGCGGGGGCGGAGGGAGCAGGACAGGCAGTGTCTGGCAGGCGGCCCCTGTTCTCTCTCTGCGGCGCAGGAATCTTGACGCCCCGTCCCCTCTGGCCGTATGGCTGTGGACGCTTGGCCAGAGGGAAGGAAAACGTGCCTTGCTTTGCCTGGGGTGTGGTGTGGGGTCTTCACCGCTGCACCAGCCACTCTGGGGCCGGGAAGGGGGAGGCTGGAGAGTGGGTCTTTCCAGGGTGTTGGGGGCCGTGCGTGGGTGTGGCAGGTGCCTTCTGCCTGCCCCTCGCAGGCCGCGAGGTCTCGGCTTGGACCCCGGACAGCCATGGAAAGCAGGGTCCAGCCTGTCTGGGGCCACTGTCTCCCTGCCTCGGGGATCAGTGCTCGCTCCACGTGGCTCTGCAGAGCTGGGCACCCAGGAAGGCGAGGAGGGGTTGTGTGCATTCTTAGTGAGTCCCCCACACCACTCGGGGGACAGGGGCTCATGGTCCCCAGTGGCCCCTTAGAAGTGTCCCTGTCCCATCCCCGAGAGTGCCTAGCACTGAGCAGATGCTGCCCGCCTCCCCTGCTGGGGTCTCTGGGCCCCGCTGGGCCCCACATCAGCCGCCTCCCCGTCCGCAGCCTCCTGCTTGAGGGCTCGGGCCAGACCCAGCGGGCGTGTCATTGGTGAGTGGCACCCGTTGCCAAGTGCTGTGCACATCCAAAGTTTTTTGAGTGTGCTGGGGTCTGGAGGGCTTTGGAGTTTGCAGTGGGGGGCTGTGGGTAATGGTGCAGGCTCCTGGGGTGAGGGCCAGGGCATTCGAGGACAGAGCTGGACTCTAACTTAGTGGCCCTGTGGAGCAAGCTTGCTGGCAAGGCCTCGGGGGGGCGGGCTCCCCGCTTCCAGACGGGTGGGGAAACGGACCCCGGGTGGTTTCCGCTGAGACAGGCAGCTGGCAGCAGCCCGGTGCTGCCTGTGCCCAGGTCGTGCGCACTGCTGGCCCAGGAGCTGTTGGGACTTGGGCTGGTGGGGGCCCCTGGGCTCCCAATGGCATCGTCGTGGGCTCACGGCGGCACCTCCAGCCCCAGCTTGGCAAGCGCCTGCAGGTCTCACCTGGTTTCTGGGGGGAACCAGCCTGGGTTGACACAGTGATGCCGCTGTGTGCCAGTATGTGTGTGTGCTGATGCTGTCCCAAGCCAGAGCGTGACCGCAGGACGTCCATGTGCTGCCCGGGCCTGGCTCTGTCACCTTCCCTGGCAGAACATGCTCCCCTCCCCCCGGCTGCTCCCCAGGAGCACAGGGCAGGTGGTGTTGCCCTGGGCCAGGCAGTTGTCCTTGGGGTGAGCGGTTTCCATCTCTGACCCTCACAGTCAGCGTGGGCGTGGCTTCTGTGCTCTTTTCGGCTTCTCTGGGCCACACTGCCCACACTTCCTGGGTCCCTCGTCCCTGCAGGAGGGTCTTCCTGCTGGGGTGCAGGGTCTAAGTGGCCCTGCTTGTTGGGGTCGTGGTGCTGGAGCCTCAGCAGGACTCGACCCCCCTGCACCCCATGTGTGCAGGCAGCATGACCCCATCCTGGGGTGCTTCTAGAGCTGTGAGGGCAGCACCCTAAGAGGGCACAGTGGCCTCGCTGCTAGGGTTGGGAGCTGGGCTGGCCAGAGCCGACCTTTGGGGTGGCATGAGCCTCCCAGGCTCAGTGACTGCCGCCTAAAGTCTTCTGAGGTGACGGTGGAGCCAGCCGCCGCCTGCAGCCTGGCAGGGGCTGGTGAGGACGCGGCCTCCAGGGCCAGGGTCCCCTTGGCCGCCGCACTAGAGCTCAGGAGTGAGGCCCAGGGTCTCCCGCTGAGACCTAGGTGCTGCAGAACCGCCCACTTATGCCCTGGCTGTGTCCTTGCCTTTCGGGATCTGAGCTTGGGGGTCCTCCTCGAACCCCTCAGGTGGGTGCTGCCTGCTGTCTTCCTGAGGGCTTGGGGGACCCTGGGTGCCCCCCAGAGTGGACATGGCCCCAGGTGGAGACAGGTCTGCGCTCATTCTGTGTCCCCGTGGTGGCCGGGTACTTCCGCTGGTGTGCGTGGAGCACCATCCCTGTACACGGGAGGCGCGGCCTGTCCACCGGGTCTCTCCTAACACAGCTTTGGGGACAGAGAAGAGCTTTGCTTTCTGCATCCTTTAGAAGTGTGCTGGGGCGGGGCTTGGTGGTGACAGAGGGCAGGTAGAGGTGGCAGAAGGCCCTGGCCGTCACAGTGCAGAGCAGGGATACTCTGCATGGCCGAGCAGAGTTAGAGACCTCAGCTCCCTGCCACCCCTGGGAACTGGTCATCCCGGAGACCTGTCCCTGAAATCATGTGTTCCCCAGCATGCGGAGACAAGAGAGAAACCGCTGTCCCTGGCCCTGCTGTCCCTGGCCCTGCCGTCCCTGGGGGGTGTTGGCGTCTGGGCCACATGCTGTCCTGGCCAGGGCCCCAGACGCTGAGAGTAGCACACATGAGCTTTGAGTCTGTTCCCTATTCCCACCACTGTCAGCGCCCTTCAAGGCAGGGTTGGCAGACCGCTGTGTCACCTGGCCTGGACCTCGATGCCTGTGTCTGGTGCTCCAAGGCAGCCCCATTTTTGCCTTTGCCCATGCGGTGGCATTTTCCACACCCGTCTCTGGGCATCTGCTGGGCTTCATGTCCGTGTCATCCTCGGCCCCTCTGCCGAGCATGCACAGCTGGTACTTCAAACCCTCCACGTGCCTGGATGCCCCTGAATTCTGGAATTGTCCCTGGTGGGTAGTGCTGGGGATGGGCAGCAGCTGTGGCGGGCACCTGACTGGCAGATGACCCACCGGGAGCTGTGCACAGGTGCCTGAGGAAGCCTGTAGCCTCTGCCTCCGCCTGGGCTCACTGGCACCGAGAGTCCTCTCCACCCTATGTGTCCCGCTGTGCCCTGCAGGAGGTGGCCTTGGGCCTGACGTGCAGCCCCCGGGCCTCCAACCCTGGAGAAGGGTCTTTCCCAAGCCTCCGGTTGGTTCCCTTCCTGTCTCTTGCAGGCAACACCTTCCTGAGCTCAGCCACTGAGCTAGGGGAGAGCAGGGTGCTCGGGTCCTGCCAGGAGCCTGAGGGCTGGGGCTGCACCTGTTCCCCTCAGCCTGGGCCTGCCTGGTCATCTGTGCGCAGCCGGGACCCTGTAAGCCGGCACTCTGTTGGGAAGTCAAGTCCACCTGCCCTGTCTCTCCATAGCCTGTCATCCCGTACCCCGTACCCCATTCCTTCCCTGAGATTCTTTGCAGACCACCATTCTGAGTCCAACCATGCAGGAGGCTGCCTTGTTCAGGATGCCGCGAGGGCCCTGTGGTGGCTGAGTCCCCTTGGGTTGGGAGCCACACTGGCCCCCGCCCTGCACGGGGAGCCCAGTGGTGGGGGCACCAGCCCGTCTCACCTGCATGAGTGTCCTGGGCTGCAGCCACAGAACCCCTCAAGCCAGGGGCCTGAAAAGCAGAAGTTTCTCCCCATCATGAAGGCGGGATCCTGAGGTCAGGCGTGGGCAGTGTTCTTCCTGCCTCTTCCTCCTGGTGGCTCCCACCTGTCCTATCTGGCCACCTTGCCCTGTTCCTGCCCCTTCACATGACCTTCTCTGTGTGTCCCTTGTTCGTCCTGGGACTTAGGGACCAGTCCCAGAATGACCTCATCTCCATCCTTATTTTGTCTGCTAGACGCCGTCTCTGGATGAGTGGGCATGGATCTGGGACTGGCGGAGCCAGTGTACCACCCACAGTCCCTTTAGGTCTCCCCCAGCTTGGGCCAGCTGCGCTTTCTGGACCTGTGGGCCCTGGTGGAGGGGCTGGCTCTGCCCTGGGAGCACTGTGTGGACTTGGGCTCTGGCTGGCATACACCCCATACTCAACTCCAAGGTTTCAGGGCCGGATCTCACTCCGCCGAGCACACCAGCCCAGGGAAGGGTAGTGCCTCTGCCCACTCTGGTTCCGAGAACAAAGTTGTGGTTTAGGGAGATCTCGACATGGCCCATCTGTGACCCTGTGTCCCCCTCACAGATGTGGACGAGTGCCGTGTGCACAACGGCGGCTGCCAGCACCGGTGTGTGAACACGCCCGGCTCCTACTTCTGCATGTGCAAGCCTGGCTTCCGGCTCCACTCAGACGGCCGGACCTGCCTGGGTGAGTGTCACCGGGGCCCCTCTTGGGTGTGCCAGGGCCCTGCACTGTGGCCCTAGGGCTGGCTCTGGCTGTGGACTCGGCAGCTCCAGCAGTCTAGGTTCCTTCCTGGGGAGTGAGGCAGCTGCAGGTAGAAGGGTCGTCTCCAGCTCCCTGAACCCCCAGGCCACATGCACACTTGCTGGGCGGCCGTCTGCAGAGTTGGTCAGCAGGGACCGGCTGGGCTGTGCTGCTGCTGAGACTCAGGGAGATCTGAACACCCTTGGGCAACAGAGGAGCCACTGGGCAGATAGGCAGGCAGTGTGTGGCCGTTCTTGGCCTGCAGAGCTGGGCTGCTCCGGGAGCCCACAGTGTGGACTGCGTCCAGCAGAGAGTGGTCATGGAGAAGGTCTCGGTTCCTCTGCTGTGGGGATGGGCCTTGGGAAGGGGACCCCGCCAGCTGGGGGCTGTGGTGACAGGGTGTCCTGGGGGCGGGATGGACCCATCCCTCCCTCTCTGAGAGGCCGGTGGACTCATGCTCTGGGGGGCTGAGTGGCGCACCCCTTCTTTGTGCCCTAGCGTCCCGGCGTGGGCCCGGCAGCTCTGCATGGGCTTGCGCTGCGTGGCCTACAGCCCGCCCCAGCCCTGCCCCAGTGTCTCCCCAGCTGGGGAGCCCGGCAGCCTGGGTGAGAAGCAGAAGCAGATGAGGAATGTCGCGAGGAATGTTGCTCATGCTCACGACAGTGGGGTCAGACACAGCGCAGCTGGCAGCCTGATGGGACTTCTGGGGGTTCTCAGCTGGGGGCACTGTGGTTGCCTCAGCTACTTCAAGAGGCAGCTTTGGGGGAGTGCATATCCCCTCCTCCCGCAGGCTGCCGCTCGGGAAGGCTGCCCTGGGGGCTGGGGGGCATCCGCTCCTCTGTCCGCTTGCTGTCCCCAGAGTTGGGACGCTGCCTCTTCTCCGTCTGGCCCGTCTGTGTTGTGGTGACGCTCACTGAGGTGCCTCTGGAAGGGACAAGGGCCAGGAGGGGCAGATGACGATGCCGAGACTCTGGAAGCCCAGGGGGCGCCCCCAGGCTCGCCCCGGTTCCCCTGCCCACATGCGTGGCTGTCCTGGAGCAGACCTTCTGGGCTTCTGTGCACTTGGGAGCCTGGGAGTCTTCACTGGTGTCACCTGCTTCTTTTAAGGGTCTTTGTGGGATCAGGAAGCAGGGCTCCTGGGTGTGGCCTCACGGCCTGGCTGTCTTCCCGGCGCTGTGACCTCTCTTTGCCTGTTTAATTGGTGCCCCCTGCGGGCTTCCAGGGCCTTCTTGGGTGCTGGTGTCCACTTCCTGGCTCTCCCGCCAGAGGGCCCGCTGGGACTCACTGGACGTGGCTGGTGCAGAGCAGTGACTGTGTGTCCCTCTCCTCTCTGTCGACTCCAGCTCTTAGGGATTTGCACAGGAGCTTCATGAAATAATAGCCACTCTCTGCTAAGGACCTAGAATGGTCCCATCCACCTCGCTGCTAAGGGGTGCTGGCGGACACACACGCTGGCTTTCCCAGGGGTGACAGCCACCCTCTCTCTGACAGGCATTGCATGGCGACTCAGGCCCCATGGCTTCAGCCTGTGCAGCCAAAGAAGCTGGCTGGGAGGAAGAGCTCACTAGCTTTAGTCCCAGGCCGCCCTGCCTAGGCACCCCCAGCCCCCTTCCCAGGGTTCCAGTGGGGTTCTGGGGGTGCCCAACCCCGCCCAAGCCCCTTCTTGCTGCTGAAGGACCCACCCCTAGCTGCAGTGGACCTGAGATGCTGGCCGGGTGTGAATGGCCGAGCTGTCCCTGTCCTGGCCTGGGGGGTTGCCAGTCAGGTACCAGGGAGGAGGCTTCTTCGCAGCTTGTCCTGAGCTCCACAGGCCATGCTGGGCCGCTGGGCTCTTGAGGGCCTTGGTGGCCAGGGTAACCCTAGTTCATCCTAGTCATGGGGAGCATGGATCGCTCCCTCTCCACAGCCTCGGTCCCCACTCCCCAGGACTCCAGGCTGCTCCACCTGGTTCTCAGAGGCACCTTCTGCCTGGCGGCCTGGCCCGGGTGGGGGGGCCTGAGCAGATGTGTGAGGGGAGTTACAGGAGCTGTGCCCTCCCCTTGCTGCCAGCTGCAGGACAGACACACAGCTGGAGCTCAGCTGCCGCAAGGCCCTTCCCAGCTGCCTGCCTGCTGGGCTCCTGGCCGAGCCCGCTCCCCTGGGGCTTTGCTGGCAGACGGGGGTGCACCCCAGCCTGGCCCCTGATGTCTTGGTTGCCCCAGTAGCTGAGGTTGCCCCAGGAGTGAGGATGATGGAGGCAGAGGGTGGAGGAGGCACTGGAAGGATGGGACTGGGTTCTGTAGCAGGGCAGGAGCTCTTTGGGGCTGGGCAGAAGGATCTGGTATGTCCCAAAGAGGGGGGGGTCTTTGAGGGGGTCTTGAAACACTTGAGGGGGGCCTTGAAACACCCTTGGAGTCACTTCCAAGGCAGGAAGGCAGAGCACAGGAAATCACAAGCTCCCTAGGTACCTCCCTTCCAAACAATCTTATGGAATAAAGCTCAAAAAGATTTCCGTTCCTATTCTTAAAAATGGGAATTTACAAGAGGAACTTTGCCATTGGCCCAAGGGCAGTGAGGGCCTTGTCCCCCAGCCCTGGCTGCCACCCCAGGTTCCAGCAGCCTGGGGTGCTGTGTTGCCAGGGTACCCTCTTGGGGTCCCCAACCCCTGCGGTGGGGTGGGGTCCCAGGCGGGGTCTGGGGCAGGCCCAGGCTTTGGTGCAGCCAGCTGCTTCTTTCTCCACTGTGGAGGGAGGGGCCGCCCTGGGGCTGGTTTGGCCATGGTCTCTGGGTGTCACTCTTGGTTTCTGTGACATCCTGCAGAGCACCAGCACGGCCGCCCCTGGCCATTTAACGCAGGAGGGGTCCTCCCCCCTGTGAGTGGGGTCTCCCAGCCGACACTCCCCACCGGGTGCCCGAGGCTGGCCTGTCTGACCCTGGGGCTGTGACCCAGCCATGCTGCTTTCTCGTGCCCCTGGGCTGGGTCCAGGGCCCCGGATGCACCCACTGCAGGGCTGGGCAGCCCACGGCTTTTGTCCTCTCAGCCTCGTACTTGCCACACCCGGGATGGACACCCAGGGCAGATTCTGCTGTCAGCGTGTCCCTGGTGGCCTGGCTGCCCCTGCCTGTGTCCCCACCCAAAGTCAGATGGGCCCTAGGGCACAGGCTGGAGGGAGCTGGCCCGGTGCTGTGCCCACGCCTCTGCCATGTGTGTGCATGCAGGCGGGCGTGGCCCTGGCTGACCGCTCCCTCCCCAGGCCCGGCTCAACCTGTTGGGCAGCTAGGCTGCCCGGGCCCTCGTGCCTGTGCCGTCTGCTCCTTGGGGAGGAGGCTCCTCCATCCCTGGAGGCTGCTGCTGGCAACCTCGTGCGGCTGGGGCCCAAGCCACAGGCATCTCAGTGTGCAGTCTGCCAGGCTCATCTGCGAAACTCATCCCTGCGAAGCCGCAGATGGGCTCTGCCAGCGTCCCCTGTTCCCTCAGAGCCAGCACAGCTGCAGCTGCTGACGCAGCCTGCCCAGCCTGGAGGAGCTGGGGGGCCCGGCTGGAGTCAAGTCCTTGGGAGAGGCAGGAAAAGACAGTCGAGTTCCCACCACTGTCCTGTGCGAGCTCCGTGGGCTCCTGGGCCCCTGGGGAGGGACCCTGGGGGGGGGTGCTGTGGCCCAGGGAGCCCAGGGCAGCCGAGCTGGGTGGGAGGGCGTGGGGTTAGCCCAGTGGTGAAGCCGGCGTGGGGCAGGTCAGGGACCCTGGGCTCGTACCTTTGGGTGGCCACACTGACACACTTGGGGGATGCCACAGTCCCATGAGACACAGCTGTCCCTGAGTGTGGGAACTGGTGGGTCAGACTGACAGCCATGTACATGGCAGAAGCGAGGGGAAGGTGGGGCAGGGCCTCCACGCAGGCCCAGGTTGGAGCTGAAGCTGGGCCACAGGAAGGTGCCCCAGGTGGGGAGTTTAAGCCCTGTCCCCCGGGTGTCCTGTCTGGTTCCCGGGTACCTGGAGTGGCTGAAGGCTGACGGAACACCTCTAGCATAGTTCCTTCGGGACTGTAGTGGACTGACAACTGGTGGTCAACTTATAACCCCCCGCTGAACTGAGTAAGCGTGGTGCTGGGTGTGGGAGGCCCACCTGCAGATTGTTGCCAGCAGCATAAGAGGCAGACCTGGAGAAGAAGAAAGGCTGTTGGGAGCTGAGAGAAGCTATTGGGGGCTGGTAGAAGCTGTAAGGAGCTGTTGGTTCTGTTGGAGGAGCTTGTCATGCTGGCTTTCCTGATGAACTTGGCTGTTTTCATCCTCCAAGGAGCTCGAGGCATTGTTGGCACTGAAAATGGCTTCGGTTCACTTTGGGGGAGCTCTGGTCCTCACTCTGAGCATCGCTTCCTGGTTCCAGAGGGGAAGATGGTACACTGCCAGTCTCCTGGAGAAGCTTGCTGCGTTGGCTTTCCTGATGGGAACTCAGCTTGGGACCTCACTGTTGCTGAGGATGGCTGTGGTACTTTTCAGGGGAGCTCTGGTTCTTCCTTTGTGCGTTGCTTCCTGGCTCCAGGGCAGATCCCTCAGCCTGCTAGCACAGATCCTTCATCCCGCTGGCACAGACTTCCTAGATTCCACCACGGACCTTTGGGCCTTCCCAGCGCAGACCGTGAAACAGGCCTGCATGAGACAGTGTTATAGGCTCTGGGCCTCCAGGTAGACTCATTGGAAGCACTGTTATGAGTTCTAGGTCTTCAGCTGGACTCATGCAGGACATTTCCGTGGGATCCAGGCCCTCAGCTCAATTCCTTGGTCTTAGTGTGTGGACAGATTTCCTGCACTCTTCTATATGTCATTCTTTGAGTGATTATTATAAATGACCTTTAAAATATGTGCCTGTGTTATATTGTTTCCCCTTGCAGTATCCCCCAAACCAACACAGGGACCCATCTGTTGCCTTGGCTGGTTGGTCTGAACCATAGCCTGGCCACACAGTCCCCCAGGAGAGGCAACGCTGGACAGCGGTGGCCAGCACAGCTGGTCCAGAGAGGGAGTGGGGCAGGCATTTCCCTCGATGCCTGGTGCTTTGGCCACCCAGGCTGTGCTGCAGGGCCTGTCTTTGGCTGGCACTCTGCCTGGCCAGGACTAGGGACAGAGAGTATGATTGGTGTAGTCACAGGGGCCGTGCACAGGCAGGCGGGGGTCAGGATGCCAAGGCAGGAGCAGTAGGGAGCCAGGGACTGCCGTGCTGCCATCCTGGCCCAGCAGCAGGTTCCTAGAGAGAAGCACTGCAATGCCCACTGACCGCCATGGTGGGAATTCTCTGAACCCAGAAACCACACCGAGTGAGGGTAGTGATTATGAAACCTCAGGATAACATGGACGGATCGCCCTCAGGCCGGCCCCAAGCCCCCAGCTGCGTTGGAGGTCCAGCAGAGGGAGCCGGGGGCATGTGCTACCACACAGATAGACAGCCCCCGCCTATCACCCGCAGAGCAGGGGACTTGGCTCAGGGCCCAAGTCTGTGCTTGGGCTCCAGCCTCCTCATACCAGCACAGTGTCCTCTGCCAGGAGCACCACACCTCCAAGGGCAAGGGGCACAGGTGGGCAGCCCTTGGCCCCATAGGAAACCTGTCTTCTGGACTGTACGGTGCCTTCTCCACAAGCTCCCTTCCCTTTGCAGTGTGTGCCTTGTGGGTCGCAAACGGTGGGGTCTTCTGCTGCTGTCAGGACCCGCGGGCTCCCAGCTGGAGGGTGGCGTGCACCTTGGCATCCACAGACTGGAACTTGGGATGTACAAGTCAGCTGGGGCTGCTGTAACAAACACCGGAGACTGTCGTCCTTCACCACTGAGAAGAGTGCATGTTCTAGACCAGGGTGTGGCCAGCCTGGTTCGCAGTGAGGACCCCATCTCACCTTGCCACCCCCATGAAGACCTTGTCTCCAAGTAGGGTCTGTTGGGGGGTTACAGCTGCAACATACGACCTTTGGGGGACACCGGCGTTCAGGTCCTAACACTGAGAGGCATCAAACAATAGACATTTTCTTCTGATCTGGATGTGGGCAGAGACCCAAGCTAGATCCTGGCAGAGAACACCGGGCATCAGACGGAAACCTCGAGCTAGGGAGTCATGCTCCTACAGGATTGCTCACAGCAATCAGCAGGCTCCTATCGCTTGTGAGTTTTTCCTCGGAGGAAACACTAGACGTGAAAACAGCTTGCCATGCAGCACTTTGTGAGCGCTCACAGTCTGCAGGGAGGCGGGGAGCCTTCCCCGCTCCGGCGTCTGGGTTCCTTCCTTCTGGTGGATGCACTTGGCTGGTGTCAGATCTGAGCTTTGTCCTGATTTTCAAAACCTTTGGCTATGGTCAGGCTGGGTCCCGGGACGTGTGTCCCACGGCTGGGTCTCTGTGACCGAGGGGCCTGGAAACATCAGTCCCAGCCCCAGCACAGTCCCCGGGAGGCTGGCCCTCCCCGGATCCGCATGTCCTGTGCCGGAGAGAATCTGCCTCGCTCAGCTTTCCGGGAATCTGTGCAGGACGCACAGCTTGGGAGCATCTGAGTGTCCCAGCTCCGGAGCAGAGGATGAGGGCACGGGGCCACGCGGCTCCCTGCATCTGTCCCGGTGGGCTCCTCCCGGGCCCGTCTCGGGGCACCAAGGCACAGCCCCTTCCTCGTAGCCTGCCACAGCCCCAACGCCTGTCCAGCCGCTGTCCTGCCCCTTCCTGGGCTCCGTGCCCCTCTGCCTGCCTGGCCGTGCCAGAAAGGGCTTCTGGTTCCTATTATGCGTCCCGAGCCGGGATGCAGTTGGTGTGGTGAGCACAAATAAACAGAGCCCCCAGGAATGCAGGGTTGTCTCAGGCTCCAAGCTGGAGCCTTTGGCTGTGTGTGTGTGTGTGTGTGTGTGTGTGTGTCTGTCTGTCTGTCTGTCTGTCTGTCTGTCTGAACAGAGCCCGCTCCGGTGGGCTGGGCTAGGGTCGAGCGGCTCTTGTCTGGTCTGGGGGTCCTTGTGACTCCGCTCTGTCACACATGCCAGTGTGGGCGGCCAGGACACAGCGGTCACCACCACCCCCGTGGCTGGCTCAATCCTGGGATGCGTCTGTGCGGAGATACGGCAGCCCAAGCGCTGTGCCGTGAAGGAGCCTCACTGTTGGCCCACGGATCTGTGCAGGACACACATGTGGATCGCGGGCCTCCCTGCCAGGGCCTTGGCCTCAGAGTGCCTGCCGCTCTGATATGCACCCCACACTGTGTGCCAGACAGCACACCCTCACCCCGTCCTGAGCCGGCCCCGTCCCAAGGATGGCAGCATCCTCTCCCCAGGCAGCATCTGGGGTGAAGCTGGATCCCCAGAGCTACAGGGCTGAGGGAAGGGGGCTCAGGTTTGCCCTGGGCTCAGGCCTGTGGGCAGCCAGTCTCAGCTCCCTGGGCAGGACGGCGGCGCATTCTTGTGGCTTCCCCTCTGTGCCTGGGGCCAGCTCACTCCCTAACCACAAGCCCATGGCAGGAGACTCGATCGTAACCAAATCTGTGCTGAGTGTTGGCTGCCACTTCCGGGAGGCACAGGGCCCACCTTGGTGCCGGGCCCAGCCTAGCGCCTCCCCTCCTCCCTGGCCGGCTGAGGGCAGCCCCCTCTGTGGCTTATACACTGGCCTCTCAGGGCCAGCCTGCCCTCAGAGAGCCTGTGTCTGGCAGGGTGTGAGCTGGAAGGGCGGGGAGTCCTGGCCGGTGTTGCACCAGGGTCAAGTGGAAGGCACGGCAGCTTGCAGTGGGCGTGAGCTGCTCTGGGGAGCCGGTGGCCAGGCCTGCAGGCCACAGTGGCCGTCTGCTTCTGCCCCCAGCATGGTGGGATGGTTACTCAGTGCCAAGCTCGCTCCCTCAGGCTTCTCAGGGACTCCTGCGCTTTGAGTTGTGGCCTGGGGGTGCTGGACTTCTGTCGAGGTGGGACAGTGCCCGGTGTCTCTGTGTTCTGCCCTCCACTGGCCTGGGCCTAGAGGGTTCAGTGTGACACCCACCGTTCTGGGGACCTGTGGGCAGCTGAGAGAGCAGAGCCAGGCCCACGAGGTCCCTGCTCAGGGCCACAGACGGAAGGCGGGGAGGTGGCTGACTGCCTGTCCTCTGTCTCCAGCCGTCAACTCCTGCGCCCTGGGCAATGGTGGCTGCCAGCACCAGTGTGTGCAGCTCACAACCACGCGGCACCGCTGCCAGTGCCACCCCGGGTTCCAGCTCCAGGAGGACGGCAGGCGCTGTGTCCGTGAGTGGCGTCTCTCAGGCTCGAGATGGTCGGGGCCTGGGCTGTGGGCCTGGAGTCTGGGCTGGGGTTCTGCCCCAGGGTTGCATGGCCCGGGGTCAGGAAGTTTAGGCTGGGGGCACAGCCTCGGTTCCACAGAAGCCCCCGGGGGGCCTTGGGCATAGGAGGGAGCTGGGCCCTGCCAGCCATCGATCAGGGCCTCAGTGCTGCCTGCAGTGAGGAGGGGCTCTGCAGGATTGGACGCCCGGGTGTGGGCACGGGTGGGACAGGCTGGGAGTGCTTCCTCCCACCTACCTCAGCCTGACCGGGCAGGCGCAGTGTGGGCATGGGGTCTGAAGCCAGTCATGGGGCTGGGATAGCATGGGTCACAGGGATGGATGGTCATAGGGCTGGGGTCACAGGGCGGAGGAGATCACAGGTCTGGGGTCGAAGCTACCTTTCTGCAGATGCCCTGATGCAGCCAGGCCTTCCTCCCCGTTCTGTGGATTCCCTGGGAGCCACGGGCACACGGGCACAGGCTGCCTGTGCCCTGGAGGGTCCTCCAGAGAGCCTGATTCCTTGAGTGTCCCACATCTGGGGAGGAGACTCCACCCAGGCTGGGCAGGGAGGGAGGTGGCACTGGGCAGGGCCTCATGGGACACCGGGGTAGGCCTCCTGAGTCTGCCTGGATCTCTCCTCCCCGCTTGCCCTGATCTCTTCCTTTGCCTGCATTCCCGGGACCTGGGCGCAGGGAGAAGCCCCTGTGCAGAGGGGAACGGCGGCTGCATGCACACGTGCCAGGAGCTCCAGGGCCTGGCCCAGTGCGGGTGTCACACGGGCTTCCGCTTGGCTGCAGACCGCAAGGCCTGTGAAGGTGGGCAACCAACCCCCTCCTCTCACCCTGCCTCTGTGGGACTCAGGTCCCTGTTGCCCATCCGGGACCATGCTGAGTCGGTGACGGGGGAGGTGGGGGTCACACAGACCCTGTCTGAGCCAAGATTCTTTTCAGTGGGAGTTAGGGACAGCTTGGGCCTTGCCTTTATTTTAGAAGCATCTCCTCTAGGACAGCAGAGGGGGAGGAAGGTGTGGCCCCAACCTGCCTCTCGGGGCTGTTTGTTAAATGCTGCTCTGTGCTGATCACGGCCAGGCAGTGCTTCCGCTAACACCTCCTGTGTCCAGCTGCTGTTACCCACCGTATGGCCTTGTGATGTCTGTGCTTAACTGCACCCTGGGTGCCTGAGTGCCCCCCACTTCCCCGCGCAGGGCTGGGAGGAGCAGCCTCGGTGGGGGTGCCTCCTGGACCCTGGGACTCTCAGTGGTCAGTGTCACTCCCACATGTTTATCCTGTGGGCAAGAACAAGAGGCTCCTCCTGCCACCCTGACCCTAAGCATCTCCGCCTCCAGATGTGGACGAGTGTGCTGCAGGCCTGGCCCAGTGTGCCCATGGCTGCCTCAACACACAGGGCTCCTTCAAGTGTGTGTGCCACGCGGGCTACGAGCTGGGTGCTGATGGCCGGCAGTGCTACCGTGAGTGGGTGGCGAGCAGCGGGTGACGGGCTCTCCGGGGCTGCATCGGCTTTCTTGGCCAGGCTTCTGGGTCCCCTAGGGGCAGCCCTGGACATGGGCCTGGGGGCAGGAAGGGGCTCCAGACCCCACTGCCCATCCCAGATGCCTCATCTCTCCCAGGCATCGAGATGGAGATCGTGAACAGCTGCGAAGTGGACAATGGCGGCTGCTCCCACGGCTGCAGGCACAGCAGCGGGGGGCCCACGTGCACCTGCCCCCACGGCTATGAGCTGGACCAGGACCAGAGGACCTGCGTCGGTGCGAACCTGGGCTTCCCTGCCACGCCCCAGAGGTTCCTGCTGTCCCATCCTGCCTGGACAGCCAGGCATGACCTCAGAAGAGCCTAGGGGAGGAGGGGTGGTCCAGGCTGGGGTGAGCCTGGTGAGAGCTGTGGCCCCTAGGAGGACCTGGGTCCTCACATTGGCTGCTGGGCAGCCATCCTGCACCCGTTTGGCCCTATCTATACCCTGGGCTGTGCTAAGCGTTCTTTGTGTGACTGCAAGTGTGTGATTGTGTGTAGGCAGGTGTGATTGTGTGCACGTAACTTCGGATGTATGTGCAGGGGTGTGCAGTTAAGGGTGTGTGTGGCTGTGTGCACAGTCTGCATATGGTGTGTGTGGATTGTGTGCCGGTGTGTGTCCGCGTGCGGGCTTGCATGCTGCACATGCACGGCTGGGGGCTGCGAGCTATGGCTGTAGAGGGCATTGTGGGTACTAGGCATCGAGCACCCCTGCCGTGTGCCCCACAGACGTGGACGACTGTGCCCAGGCCCCGTGCTGCCAGCAGGTATGCTCCAACACCCCCGGCGGGTACGAGTGTGGCTGCTACGCTGGCTACCAGCTCAGCCCTGATGGCTGCGGCTGTGAAGGTGAGCGTCTGTCCATGGAGCAGCAGGGGCCCGGGAAGGACGTGGGGGAGCCCCACTGCCCTGTGGTGACCTGGACTCAGCCTGCCTCCTATGTGGCTGCTGCTGGGCCCTGATACAGCAGGCTCCGCCCTCCCCTCTGGCCTTGACCACTGGCCACGCTCCAGGGTGGGCCCACACTCCTGGCTGTTCCGAGTGGCACTCCCAGTCCAGGCAGCTGTCTGCTGTCACTCGGCCTGGGGGTGGGGAGGCCGCTGTGTCTGGGGTGGTGTGGTCACTGCTGGCCCCTGCACCCGTGGCCTGCACTCCACCCACCAAGGAGCTGGCCGCGGGGCCTTGCCTCTCACCCTGAAGCCCTGTTTGCCTGCAGACGTGGACGAGTGCGCCTCCAGCCGCGGCGGCTGTGAGCATCACTGCACCAACCTTGCCGGCTCCTTCCAGTGCTCCTGCGAGGCTGGCTTCCGGCTGGATGAGGACCGCAGGGGCTGCACCCGTGAGCCCCACCCCAGGCGCCTGCCCCTGTGCTGCCGCTGTCCCTGAGCCTCCTGGGCCCTGCGGGTGCTGCCCTGCGCTGTGGGTGGGGACAGCAGGGTGCAGGACGGCGCACTGGCACACAAGTATCCACCGGGCAAAGTGTTATGCAGGGGTCCGGCTCCTGCCTGACCGTGGGAGAGGAAGCCCACAGCCTTGATGTCTCTGGGAGAGCGGCAGCCAGGACTGAGGGGTCTTTCTGTCCTTCACAGCTCTGGAGGCGCCTGTGGAGGACCTGGACAGACAGCCGCCCTTCGAGCGACCCCTGCCCCATATCGCGGTGCTGCGGGAAGAGCTGCTGCGGCTCTTCCAGGATGACTCTGGGGCCGAGGAGGAGGAGGCAGAGTTGCGAGGAGAACTCACGCTCACGGAGAAGTTCGGTGAGCAGTGGGCCCAGCCCGGACCTCTGCCCCTGGGCACAGGGAAGGACCCCTGCCGTGACCCAGAGACGCTGAGCCTCTCCCAGCAAGCGCGTCCAGGGCTAGCTCAGGCCCTGCTCCTGGGCTGGGGCTCTTCCTGGCCTCAGTGTCTGGGTCCTACATCCCACTCTTGGGGTGTTATGGGCTGGGCTGAGGCTGTCCCTTGTGTCCTCTTCCCTGGCCCCAGGGCTTGCGGCCAGGGTCTGACCTGAGATCCCTCCCCATCTGCCCCCAGTCTGCCTGGATGACTCCTTCGGCCCTGACTGCAGCTTGACCTGTGAGGACTGCAGGAATGGTGGGACCTGCCTGCCAGGCCTGGAAGGCTGTGACTGCCCTGAAGGCTGGACTGGGCTCATTTGCAATGAGAGTGAGGCCCCTGGGTGGGATGGGACCTCGGGGGCACTGGCGGGGCACAGGGTAAAGCCTGAGTCCTGGGGTTTGTGTGCAGCCAGCTTAGAGTGGACCCCTGGCAAGCGATGGGTAGCTTTCCCCTGGCTGTCCACCTGCAATGGCCACAGTTCTGGTGGGTGGGATTTCTGGGTAGGAGGCAAGCTGCGGTCAGTCTGAGGCAAGGATCCAGCAGCAAGCAAACATCTCAGACAGCAAGGGGCCTCTACCAGGGGTAGATGGGGTGCCATAACACTGCCGAAGGGTGCAGCCGGGAGGAGAAGCAGACCACCTGCTTGAAAGCAGAGGGGAGGATGCGGCAGTCGATTAGTGATGTCTGCCACGAGCATAGCCGGGGTCGGGGGACATAAAGTGTCATCACTGTTCTTTGCTCTGAGTGGTTGCTTCTGAGTGGGTCCTGCTGGCTAGTGATCCTGGTGGTCCTATCACCCCTGCAGCTTGTCCTCCAGATGCCTTCGGGAAGAACTGTAGCTCCCCCTGCAGCTGCCAGAATGGCGGAACCTGTGACCCGGTGACCGGGGCCTGCCGCTGTCCCCCGGGCGTCAGCGGAGCCCACTGTGAGGATGGTGCGTGTGGCAGTTGGAAGGAATCACCCAGAGAGGAGGGGATAGGCAGTGTCCCCTGTCCCTGTCCAGTGTCCCCAGTACCCACTCACGCAGGAGCAGGAGAGGCCTTTTAGTGGGACTGGAATTGATTTTCCGTTGTTTTCTGGGACTGCACTATAGGAGCGGGGGACACAACGAATAACAGTTCGGGCCCTTTGGCTGGAGGGGTGGCCAGTGCATGAGAACCTTTCGCTGGAGTGAGAGGAGGGTGCAGTGGCTGGAACTGGCTCCAAGGCCCTTTGGTGGCCATGAGAGCTGTCCTGAGGTGGCACAACCCCAGGCAGCACGGGCCCCTAACTCCTCCCTGTGGCCTGCCCCCTCCCTCTCCCCCCTGCCCTGTGGCGCTGGGGCTGTGGCAGGCCGTGTGGCCGCGGGATGTCAGGCAGTAAAGTGTCTGTGTGTGGGCGCTCTGGCTCCCCTGGACAGGTCTCAGGTGGCTGGGGGGTCACCAGAGTCACCAGGACGCCGATTCCAGGCACTAGATGTCCCTGGCTGGTGGCGGCATCGCTCCAGCCTCTGCCTGTGGCCACATGTGGCCAAGCCTCTCTGCTGCCCTGGCTGTGTCTCACCTCCTGCCTCTTGTCTGACACGATTTGGGATCCACTAGGCCATGCAGGATGATCTTGCCAGGAGAGCTGGGGATGGGGCAGGGGCATAACTTTGGGGGTTCCTGCTGCCACCTCGAGAGCAGGAGGGGGACATGGGCAGGGTGGGGACCCTATGGGGGAGGGCAGCACTGCTCTAGGCCTCGAGGCTCAGCCCAGGGCCTGGCCGTCTGGGGCCCTGGGGCCCTCCTGCTTTGAGGTGGGAAAGTTGAGCTCTTGGACTACTTGGGATAGAGGTCAGCATGCCCCACTGTGTGTCAGATGCTGGGGAGCCCTGGGTGAGAGCGCCATGCCCCTCCCCAGTGTGTGCCACGGCCCTTGGCAGGGCTCCTGTGGCCAGCTGGGCCCCAGGGCTCATCCAGGAGGCTCAGATGGCCCCACGGGGGTCAGTCTTACCGAGCCCCTCCCCCAGGTTGCCCCAAGGGCTTCTATGGCAAACACTGTCGCAAGAAGTGCCACTGTGCCAACCGGGGCCGCTGTCACCGCCTCTATGGGGCGTGCCTCTGCGACCCAGGGCTCTACGGCCGCTTCTGCCACCTCGGTGAGTTCTGCTGCCCCTCGGTGTCCAGACTGAGCATGGGAGGAGTCCTGGCTGTGCTGGGAGCACCTCAGTCCACTCTGCACTTCCTACCTGCAGTTGGGCCCAGGATTCAGCCATCACCCCTGGCCTATGGAGCCCAGGCCACGTCCTCTCTGTAGCGATGGTGTAGGCTTCTGGGGCATCTGGTGTCCCCAGCCCTGCCCAGGAGGAGGGTGGGCAGGCAGCAGAGTGGAGCAGGGAGCAACTCAGGGTCCATGGTGTTGGCAGGGTCCTGGTCCTGCACCCCTGGCCAGGTCACCAGTCCCCAGGGGCCATAGTCACGTAGGCAGGGAGGTGGGTGGGCAGAGCAGAGGTGGATAAAACTGGCTTCTCCCATTGGTGAAGGAGCCTTGGGAGAGGATGCTGGGGCTTCCTCACTGGGAAGCTGTGTGAGGCAGGGCAGGTTCCTAGGGGTGCAGCTGTCAGCCACTCAGGGAGGCACGAGGTACCCTGATTCCTAGAGCGTGCCCAGGAGTGGCACAGGTGCAGGGGGTGTCGCTGTGGCCCTGGCTTATGGGCGGGGTGGGGGGACCTGTGGGTGACCCTCGCTCACGGCTCTGGGGCGCAGCCTGCCCGCCCTGGGCCTTCGGCCCGGGCTGCTCCGAGGAATGCCGCTGCGAGCAGCCCCACACCCAGGCCTGTGACCGGAGGGACGGCAGCTGCCTGTGCAAGTCCGGCTTTCGGGGCGAGCGGTGCCAGGCAGGTGCGTGCCCGTGTGGGGGCGGGGCGCCCTGCAGTGCCCAGCTGACCCTTGGCACCCGTGTCATCTTGCAGAGTGCGAGCCGGGCTTCTTTGGGCCCAGGTGCCAGCGAGTGTGCGCCTGCCCGCCGGGCGTGGCCTGCGACCCTGTGAGTGGCGAGTGTTGGCAGCAGTGTCCCCCTGGCTACCAGGGACAGGACTGTGACCAAGGTGAGGGGCTGGCCCCGGGCATCCCACGCTCAGGGTGGGCCCCAGGAGCGCTGCATGGCTAGAGGCCACCAGCCCTGCACTGGGGTCCAGGTGCAGTGGCTCCATCTGGGACTTGGATCTGTGATATCAGTCCTCGGTGTCCCCAGGAGTCCTGGCTTCCTTGGTGGCCCACACCAGGAGGGCCAGTAAGAGTAGTGGGGGTGCTGTGGCTGCCACCTGCCTGGAGGAAGTGGCCTGTGCCCCTCAGCCTGCGCTGGCGGCAGCCCTGACAACCCACGCGGTGTGGAACGCCCTTGCTGGCTGTGTGGAGCTGGGGGTGAAGACCCTTAAACCTCCCGTCTCAGCCTCTCAGCCCAGAGAAGGGACCGCAGGGTGCACGAGGGCCCTTTGCAAGAGGAAGAGGCCCTAGGGTGGCTGTGGTGGCTGCCTGGGCGTGACTCCTGCCATCTACACCATTGCTCTAATGGATGGGTGCCGAGGGCCTGTAGTGTAGGCAGCATGGCCACCAGGGCTCTGAGGGGCTGAGGAGCTGTGAGGCCTTCCCCCACCCATCTGAACAGGGGAATGAGGAAGAGAGGTCCCTGGCACCACCCGGCCTGGGCACAGGGAGGACCTGAGTACTCTCCAGCCAGCCGCCTTAGGCTGCCCTGGTCACAGTGACCAAAGGCCCCAGTGTCCTGAGCTGGGACTGGACCCCACTATGTCTGCCGGCCCTGGGGGACACCTACCTGCCCAGCGCTCTCAGGCCACATTCAACAGCGCCCAGTGTCCCCGCCCTACCCTCTGGGGAGGGGGCCTTCCTCTCCCCCACCCCCTTCACTTTCTCTTTCATCCTTTCCTGCTTAAAGCCTCCAAGGCCCCCAGGGTGGCCACAGCAAATAACTCAGGTACTTTCACAGAGATCGAGGGCTCCCCACTTAGTGTTTGGTCTGGAAACTGCTGCTGCCCCATGCTGACCCCAGTTATTGGCCCCTGCAGCCCCTTTCCTGGGCCAAGCTGTGTGGGTGCCCAGGTGTGCATTGCTGTGTGTGTGCACACGTGTGCCCCCACGTGCATGTGTGGTGTCTCTGAGTCTGTAGTGAGTGCCTGGAACCCACCCGTGTGCCGGGCAGGCTCAGCCCACTGTGTCGTGGCACAAGGAGCTGTGCTGTGCGGGCCGGGTGGGCACCTTCTGTCCTGGCTGTTTCCCACTCCAGCCTCAGGCTCTGTGGTCCTCGGGTGAGGGGGTCGTTGGGGTCCTGAGGGCAGAGTGGGCATGGACAACATGAAGCAGGTTCTGCCAGGGCCCCATGCGCTCAACACCCACGCACCTCCGAGGCTCTGCCTGGGACCCAGGCGCCGGGCCAGTCCTGCCCAGGACACAAGGGCTGTGGGCTGCCGTGCTCCCGTCAGGGAACTGTGGGAGAGAGGACCCGAGGCCCAGAGCCCACGCTCTGTTGGCAAAGGGCACAGCTCTTGGGCACAGGCTGGATGCAGACCTCACCCAACCCCTGCGGCTGAGCCCCTGGAGGGCTCCTGCTGGCGGGAAGCATAGAGGGCCTGGACTTGCTCTCCTGGTTGAGGGACATTGGCCTCACCCGCGGAGGTCCTTGCCAGGGACCAGATGGAGCTGAGGGCTGCAGGGAGCTCTCCAGGGTGCTGGACGGCCAGGGGCCGGGAGAGGCTGCCCTACCCTCCTGCATCCCGCCCAGCCTCTCCCGGCCAAATGAGGTGCTCTTGTGCCAAGGACAGGCACTACCACCTACCCACTGGACCCTGCAGCTCTGCTCCTGCGGTCTCCTGGGTCCTGTTGTCCCGCTGGCCTTCCTGGATCCCCCTGGATCCCTCCCCGTGTTCAGCAGCCCCTTCTGGAGCTGTGCCTGGGCCAGGGCATCGTGCCAGGACCTCCGGCAGCCCCACAGGCTGTGGCTGAGGCCCCTCCTGCTTCCTCTGCAGAGTGCCCAGCGGGGACATTCGGTGTGAACTGCTCGGGGTCCTGCTCCTGTGGGGGGGCCCCCTGCCACTGGATCACGGGGCAGTGCCTGTGCCCACCAGGGAAGACCGGGGAGGACTGCGGGGCAGGTGAGAGGCGTCAGGACCTTGCTCTTCCTCCCCGTCAGCCGCAGGACTCCAGTGGGGCCACCTGGGGCCATGTATGGGTACTGCAGCCTGGGCCACATTTAGGGGCCCCTGGCCCTGCGGATTCCAGGCCCTTCTGCAACAGCTTTGAGAACACACACCAGGCCAAACCTGGGCAAGGAGGGGCGTCCTGCTGGACACCTCCTGGGCTCCCTGCTCCCCTCATGGGTTCTCCTGAGGCTCTGCAGACTCCGTTGAGCCGTCCCTGAGGCTGGGGCTTCTCTCCTGTGGGTGGACACCCTGCAGCCCCAGAAGGACCCCAGGCAGCCCAAGGGGAATCACAGGTTCTCTCCTGGGTGTGGCACAGAGGGACTTGGTGCTGTGCCAGGCATGCTTTTGCGGATGTGTCCACCCTCACCAGCGGGGGAGGTTGACTGGCTCTGGGGGGCTAGACTGTCCCGAGGGCCACTGGGGGCTGGGCTGCCAGGAGATCTGCCCTGCGTGTGAACACGGCGGCCGCTGCGAGCCCAAGACCGGAACCTGCCTGTGCCTCCCTGGCTTCGTCGGCAGCCGCTGCCAGGACAGTGAGTGCGGCCTTGCCCGTGGCTCGGGGGCAGATGGGCCATGCTGGGCTGTCACGCTCACCCTCTCCACTGCCTGCAGCTTGCCCGGCAGGCTGGTTTGGGCCTGGCTGCCAAATGAGGTGCTCTTGTGCCAATGACGGGCACTGCCACCCAGCCACTGGACGCTGCAGCTGTGCCTCAGGGTGGACTGGCCTCAGCTGCCAGAGAGGTAAGGGCCCTCCCATCCCTGCCCCGAGACGCCCCGCACCCCACCTGGGCTCCACAGCTTCACTCCGGCTCTGTTGCAGCCTGTGACAGCGGGTACTGGGGGCCTGACTGCAGCCACCCCTGCAACTGCAGCGCAGGCCACGGGAGCTGTGACACCGTCAGTGGGTTGTGCCTGTGCGAGGCTGGCTACACGGGCCCTCAGTGCGAGCAGGGTGAGTCCCAGCCCTGGGCTGTGCCACACATGGGTATGCCAGTGCTGAGGGGCATGCACACACGAGCACGTGTGCACAGCGTTTGCCTGTGTCTGCATCCATGATACTTGCATGTGTGCGCACGCACCTGCCTGCACCTGCCTTCCTGTGACCACCTGAGCTTGCCCTTCCTGTCACAAGGGGGCGCTCACCCGGGACAGCAGGCAGAAAAGCCTGTCTCACCCCGTTGGGCTCTGGGAGGAGAGGGAGGTGACCGCTGGACTGTGTGTGCCCCTCAAGACGGCGTGGGTAGGCCCAGACAGGCCCAGCTCCTAATGGTGATGTCTGGGCTCTCACAACCCCCAGCTGGGACACCTGGGCCGGGAGAGGCTCTTCCTGAGACAGGCCCTGTGCCCTGTCATCAGGCCCCGGTCAGATCCGGGCCCCGGCTGACGGTGGGCTGGGGCCTTGGGTCTCAGAGTGTCCCCAGGGCTACTTCGGGCCCAGCTGTGGGCGGCGGTGCCAGTGTGAGCACGGGGCAGCCTGTGACCACATCAGCGGGGCCTGCACCTGCCCACCCGGCTGGAGGGGCAGCTTCTGCGAGCGCAGTAAGTGGGGCGAGGCCAAGGACGGGCTGGGGCCGTGACGGCAGGCGGGGTCCTCCAGCCCGGCCCTCCTCACCGCCGCCCCTGCCCGCAGCCTGCCCGGCCGGCTTCTTCGGCGTGGACTGCCGCGGCACCTGTGACTGCTCCCCCGGGGCCACCTGCGATGCTGTGAACGGCACCTGCATCTGCCCGGCTGGCCGCTGGGGCCCCCGCTGTGCCCAGAGTGCGTGAGAGCCTGGGCCCCCCACGGGGGACGCACCTGCGGCCCCGCCCCGGGTGTCCCCAGAGCAGTTTGGCCCACGAGGGCCTGAGAATCTTTCCTTTGTGTGGCTGCTCTGCAAGAAGATGCCCAACCCAGGGCAGGGGAGAGTGGGTCGCAGCTGCCAAATGGTGCCCGCTGCAGCTTCTCTGGGAACCCTCCTGCTTCAGCCTCTGACTGTCCCTTCCCTTGCAGCCTGCCCAACCCTCACCTACGGCCTCAACTGCAGCCAGGCCTGCACCTGCTCCAACGGGGCCTCCTGCGACCCTATCCACGGGCAGTGCCACTGTGCACCCGGCTGGATGGGGCCCGCCTGTCTGCAGGGTAAGCCCTGCCCCTTGTGGGACCTGCACAGGCATCCCAGTGGGCGTGGAATGCAACAGCATGCAGGAGCCCTGAATCCCAGAGCAGGGGGCTGCTTAGGACTGAGGACCATGCCCTTGGGGTTGGTGGGCCCGGGGTGGGCCAGGGTCGGTCCCATGGAGTAGCCCCGGCAAGGTCCCCACCTCCAAAGCTAGTGCTGGGCTTCGTGGGGTGCTGGGTTGCAGACCCCCTGGGGCCCTGCCAGCCGGATGTCGCAGGCCGCTCCCTCCCCACCCAGCCTGCCCCGCCGGCCAGTACGGCCAGAACTGTCAACACTTGTGCTTGTGCCGGAATGGAGGGAGCTGTGACCCTGTCACTGGCCGCTGCGCGTGCCCAGAGGGGTGGACCGGACTGACCTGTGAGGATGGTGAGCACTGGTGGCCCAGGTGGACTGTCAGGTGGTGGGGTCCCTGCGAGGCCCTGCGCCAGGAGGTGGACGCTTACCCCCACCTCATGCCCGCAGAGTGCCACGCAGGACACTATGGGGCTGGCTGCCGGCTCAGCTGCAGGTGCCTCCACGGGGCCCTCTGTGACCAGCACACTGGCCACTGCCTGTGCCCGGCCGGCTGGACCGGGGACAGGTGCCAGAGCCGTGAGTGAGGGGATGGGCCATCCGTACCAAGGCGCTCTGTCGTTGGGCAGGAGGTGGGGCTGCTCCCTGAGCTGCAGGGACCCCCAGGACGGTCTGCACTGCCGTCCTCTCTGCCCGGGCAGGCGGCCAGTGGTGTCGGGAAGGAGGACTTGGAGGGTCTTTCACACCTTGGTCTGAAGCCCGTGTCGGCCGGGGCACCTGTGAGGGGTCAGGCCCAGGCCTCTGTGCCCGAGGTCCTCACCCACCCAGCCAGCCCCAAGCCTGTGCAGAGTCCGGACAGGTGGTGCCAGGGTAGACAGTACGGGTTCCTCTCCAGCCCCAGGCACAGGGGCCTCCTGCCAGCCACCGTCTTCCCAGGACCCCAGCCCCTCTTGGGGCGGCCCAGGCAGCCACATGCAGACCTCGGGGGAGCCTGACAGAGGCCTGGACTTCCGAGTCCCCATCCCCACACTGCCATGGTCAGGGCCCCGAGGCCCTGGGGCACAGCCCTCCTGTCCATCTTGTTCCTTCGGCAGCCTGTGCCGAGGGCACATTTGGGGCTCACTGTGAGGAACACTGCGTCTGCCGGCGGGGAGCCACGTGCCACCACGTCACGGGGGCCTGCCTCTGCCCCCCCGGGTGGAGGGGCTCACGGTGCGAGCATGGTGAGTGCAGCCCCATGGGGCCAGTCTGGGACAGCTGCCTGGCAGGGCTGGGTCCTGCTCGCGGCAGGTCGGCCTGCTCTGTCCCTGGATCCCCGAGTGCCCTCCCAGGGAGCTCCCCCAGCCCATGCCCTCCAGCACCCTCATGTGCAACTGTGCCCTCATCTCATCCCCAGTCTGCCAGCGTGGCTGGTTTGGAGATGCCTGTGCCCAGCACTGCCGCTGCCCGCCGGGAGCCTCGTGTCACCACGTCACCGGGGAGTGCCGCTGTCCACGCGGCCTCACCGGGCCTGGCTGTGAGCAGGGTAGGTGTGAGGGGCGACCGGGAGCCTTGGGGCGAGCCGGAGGCTGGCCCAGCCCTGACTCCCTGCCTGCTGCAGCCTGCCCTCCCGGCACCTTTGGAGAGGGCTGTGGGCAGCTATGCCGGTGTCCAGGCCAGAACTGGGTCTGCCACCCGGCTACGGGAGCCTGCGCATGTGCCCCTGGCTACCAAGGCCCCGGCTGCCAGCAGCGTGAGTGCTACCCTGGCTCAGGGCAGTGGGGTCTCCCCTCCCATCCCCCAGAAGCCCACTGGGGGGAGGGTTGGGGTGGGACGTGGACAAGCTGCGCTGGGGGTGCTGGGGGGGCAGTCTCCAGCTCCGCCCTTGGCAGAGCGGCCCCTCTCCCTACAGGATGTCCACCCGGGCGCTACGGGCCGGGCTGTGAGCAGCCATGCAGATGCCTCAACGGGGGCTCCTGCGACGGGGCCACAGGGGCCTGCCGCTGTCCTGTCGGCTTCCTTGGGGCAGACTGCAGCCTGCGTGAGTGGCTCCTCCTCCTCCCTGGCAGTCCTTCCTGCCCTTCATCCCCCTTGCTGGGCCTGGCTCCGGGCTGAACTAAGCAGAGAGGACAGGGCCTGGGAGGGTCAGCGTGATCTGTGTCCCTGAGCCATGCCTGGCTTGTCCCTAGCTGTGTCCACCCGGGGCCTTCATCCTGGGCCCTGCGGGGGCTCCCCTGTCTGGGCCTGCAGAGCTTGGCTGGGCGCAGTGGGTCCACACACAGTGGGCTGGGCCCCGGCAGAGCCTGCAGGTGGAGGGGCCAGAGCTGGAAGGTCCACCCTGTTGGCGCAGACACAGGTCCCCCAACTCTGTCCTGTCCCATCCTGTCCCCTCGCTGCAGCCTGTCCTCAGGGGCGCTTCGGCCCCGACTGTGCCCACGTGTGCAGATGTGGACAGGGGGCAACCTGTGACCCTGTGACTGGCACTTGTGCCTGCCCTCCTGGGAAGACGGGTATCCACTGTGAGCGCGGTGAGTGGCTGCCAGGGGGTGGACGGGGCACTTCGCCAATGTCACTCAGCTGTTCCCCAGGTGGCACATTCACATGGCAGCCACCATGGCTTCCCCAGAGGACCCTGGGCTGAGAGGCAGCTCCGGGCTGCATGGGTGGCACTGTCCTGTGGGGTGAGGAGATGGTCATACCGCTCAGCCCTGCCTCTGCCCTGGGCCTGTCTGCACTCCTGTGGCTGTGGGGTCTGTCAGACCCAAGACAGACCCCTTTCTGTCTGAGGATGGAGTCAGGCAGAGGGGGCCGGGGCTCAGACAGTGGCGGGGAAACGGGTGGATGCAGGAGCAGTGGTTACGGCTCGGGCCACTGTGACTTACCTGGTCCCCAGGCTGTCAGCCGCCCGTGGCCTGGCCCCTCCTCAGTCCTCTGAGGACCTTCACCCCCGCCCCAAGTGCATGCTGAGGGCCCTGGGAGCCTGCGTGGCCAAGGGTCAGGTGTGGCCTGGCCTTATACCACCTCCAGGAAGGACACTGGCCCATCAAATGGGGGTGTCTTGTGATGAGGCCACCAAGGGCCACACCCACATCCACAGCTGATCACGCTGCTTCTCAGGCCAGACATGTGCCCTGGCTCCCACGTTAGGGTGAGCTGTGCTGGCACCACCTGCTCCAGGAAGCCTCCCGACCCCTGCATGGGCGGGCAGCTGCACGTGGCTCAGGAGGCCATGGCCTCGCTTGTTGTCAGGGGGCTGTGGGATACTTGGGGAGCATCTGCTATACGAAATCAGCGTTCCTGGGGCTGTGACCCCCTCAAGGTACCCAGCCCTGGCCACAGCCCAGGCATCGCCGTCTTCTGCCCGCAGGCTGCACCCCGGGCCGGTTTGGGGAGGGCTGTGAGCACCAGTGTGCCTGCAGGAACGGAGGGCTGTGCCACACCGCCACCGGCAGCTGCTCCTGCAGCCTGGGCTGGACAGGGCCGCACTGCGAGCGGGGTGAGTAGCCCCAGTGTCCCCCATGTCCTGGGCAGGAGGGGGAGCCCTGGGCCAGCATGGTGCTGAGGGCCCACCCTCCCCTTGTGTCCCCAGCCTGTCCCCAGGGGCGCTATGGGGCTGCCTGCCAGCTGGAGTGCCTCTGCCACAACAATGGCACCTGCGAGCCCGCCTCGGGCGCCTGCCGCTGCGGCCCCGGCTTCTACGGCCCAGCCTGCGAGCACCGTGAGTCCTGGGCTTCACCACAGCCGAGGCCAGGGCTCCGAGGCCGGAGGCCCCTACCCGGGGTTACGCAGGAAACGGGAGGCTGGCTGTGGTGTGGCAGGATGCCCTCTCCTCCTCCGGGAGCCCCACGGGGTGCTGGGGGCCATGATGGGGCCCGAGGGGGGCAGCACAGCGGGCTTCTCGTGACCCCCAAGTTACCCTCCTTTGTCACTGTGGGCAAACTGGAGGGTCCTGCGGCCTGCTGCCCTTGGCTGCTCTAACCAGGGTCCCCCCCCAGCCTGTCCCCCTGGCTTCCATGGCCTGGGCTGCGAGCGGGCCTGTGAGTGCCAGCACGGCGTCCCCTGCAACCCCGTCAGTGGCCGGTGCCTGTGTCCCGCCGGCCTCCAGGGCCAGCTGTGCGAGGAGGGTGAGTGCTCTGCGCTGCCCTGCCAGCCCCTGCCAGTCTGGTGCAGGACAGGAGGGAGCGCTGAGCTCACTGCCCTGCCAGGGTGCGAGCCCGGCTCCTTTGGAGAGGGCTGCCGTCAGCGCTGCAACTGCGGCGAAGGAGTGTCCTGCGACCCCACCAGCGGCCTCTGCCTCTGCCCGCCGGGGCGCGTGGGAGCCACGTGTGACCAGAGTGAGTGTGACATCCCGTGGGGAGGGGCGGTCCCCACTGGTGACAGATGTCGGCTGTGTGGACTGAGTGCCACCTGGGCCATCTGGGCCGGACGCCGTGCCCCCGTGGCCTCTGTGCCCTGGCCGTGCTCTCTGGGATCCACGGGCCATTTGGGGGCCAGGGCCTTGGTCTTGGAGAGCCCCAGTGGAAAGGACAGATGCCCCTGCTCTGCCCCCATGGGCAGGGCATTGCAGGTGCCAGGCCCACAGGAGGATGGCTGTTCCTGACCCTATAGCTCCCGGGCCCGTCAAGCTGGGGGAGCAGCCACAGATCCCAGGCCCTCCTGCCCAGCCTTCAGTGGTGACTCTGGGCACCTACCGGGGCTGGCACTTCCCTGGCAGGGGCTCACAGCCACAGAACTGCACTCAGCTCCCTCTCTGCCCACACGGCTGCTCCCACCCCGGCCACCCTCTGCCCCAACCCGGACAGGCGGGGTGATGCCCAGGCCTCACCCATCCTCCCACCCCGCAGCGTGCAGAGAGAACCACTTCGGGCCCGCCTGTGCCCTGCGCTGTGACTGTGGGGGTGGAGCCGACTGCGACCCTGTCAGTGGGCAGTGCCACTGTGTGGACGGCTACATGGGGCCCACATGCCGGGAAGGTGGGTCGGGGCTCGGGGAGGGGCAGGAAGGCACAGTGTCCCCACCCCTGCCGAGGGCCTGTCCATCGCCCGGCACCTCGGGTGGGCTGAGCTGGGCCCGCCAGAGAGCCCTGCCCTCCCTGCCTGGTACCCAACGTCCACACCTCCCTTGCGGGGTGCGAGCTTCACAGCAGCCTCACCGTGGGCGGGGGCCCTGGTGCCACTGAAGCCGCCCCACGCAGCTGCAGAGGCGGGCTGCACACCAGCAAGAGCCCCCAGACGGCCCCAGCCACGCGGGCAGGGCTGGTGATCCCACTGTGCCCACCTGCGCGGGTGCCTGCGGGCGCAGGTGCATGCCAGCCAGCCCACCCGTGTGTGCGGTGTGTGTGCTAGGAGTACGTGCTCCGGACGTGCCCGTGCCTGCTGCGCCCACACAGAGCCGCGGAGGTGGCCCCTGGCCCTGGGGCGCTGTGAGGCGAGCCCTCCATCTGCGGTGGAGCGTGGGCTGCACGCCAGCGCTCTGGCCCGTGCAGTCCCTGGGGCTTCCCCCGGTCGGCTCCGCGGGCCAGTGGGATGGACAGAGGGGAGTAGTAGTTTAGAGGCCCGGCAGGGAGGCCAGCCCGGTGTGAGCTGGGTACCGTGTATGTGTGCATGATTTTGAATCTCTCCAAGGAACACCTGCTTGCATATCCTTAATAGCCAGGGCAGGGCATGCACGCATTATGCTGCCCACAGCGGCACCCAGCGGTCAGGTGTGGTAGCGCACGCTAGGGAGGCGGTGAAGCCTTGACCGCGGGCTCTGAAGCTGGGCCTGTGGGCGGGGCCTCGGGCTGTTCCGGAGGCCTGGGCCCCTCCGGGTGCACTCCTCCCTGGGAACTCATTCGGGGGAGCACGTAGGAGTGACAGGAGAGGAGGGCTTCCTGCAGGCCTGAGTAGGGTCAGGGCTTGCTCCCAACATGGACTGCTGTCTGTCCTTGCAGGTGGGCCCCTCCAGGTCCTCGAGAGCTTGTCCCCAGCTCAGGGCACAGGTAAGGGGGTTGGCGAATGCCCCATGGGCTTGCTGGGAAGGCCTTCCATGGTGCTGGATGTCCCGTCACCGCCCTGGGCCTCCGACATGGGGCTGTCCGCACCGGACTTGGTGCCGAAGGGCAGGGGGTAGTGCCACAAGGCTGGTCACCCTGCACTGATCTTCCTCTCCTGGCTCCCAGGGACACAGCCGGCATCCAACACCACATCGCCCTGGCTCAGCAGCAGTGCCACCAAGCGCTAGCTCAGGAGCCCCCTGGCACGGATGCACTGCCACCAGGTGCCACTGAGGGACCCAGGCCTGTGGTGACAGCCAAGGACTCCCATGAACCGGGACTCCTGGCCCGGCCCTCTCTGGAGGGATGTGGACAGCCACGGGCCCCTATGGACAGCTGCATGGCCTCTCGGGCTGCTGGGGCCCTGTTGTCGGCAGGAACCTGGGCAGTGGCCTGGGTGCCATCATGCTATGCTGAGGAAGCTTCGTTCTGCCTGGTGCTGGACCGGAACCCTGGGAGGGGTGGGCTGGAGTGGGACCGGCCCTCCTGGTGCTAAGCCTGGACTGCTGCAGCGGGCCACCCGTCCAGCTGGAAGTGAACCCGGCTGTATTTATAGAAACATATTTATGGGCAGTGCTGCTGCAGCCCAGGTTGGGTGGACACAGCCCTTCCGAAGAAGCTGGACTCGGGTCGGCCAGGCCCAGGGGTCTCCGCGGGGGGCTCAGGGTCGGCGTGATGCGTGAGTTAAAGGAGCAGGTAGCTTCCTCGTGGCCGTGTCTGTGCTGTTTGCGTGGATGCTGTGGGTTCCTCCCCAGCCAGCGTGCTTGGAGACTCTGGGACAGGAACTGGCCCCCAACCAGGGAGGCCGAGGCAGGTGCTGCGACAGTACTGGGGCCTCCCCTGGCCTCCAGAGCTGTACAGAGGTATGTGAGGCTGCCCTGGCGCCAGCAGATGGACCCACAAAACGCTGTCAGCTGAGATACCCCGGACGCAGAAGGTGGCTGGCGCTGGGGCCCGTGTACACAGAGCATGGCCCGGAGTGGGCGGCAGGCTGGTGTGGGGGGCGGCCTCACGGCGGGAAGGGGCGTGGGCTCGCTGGTGAGAACAGCTGGGCCTGGAGGTGGTGGAGCTGTCGAGGTGTAGCCTGTGCGCCTGTCTCCGGATGGGGGAGGTGGAGCGTGCAGACCTGGACAGAAGCTGGGGACACTGCTGTGAGGCTCTGCCTCCATCTGCCACGGGGAGGAGGTGCCCTTGGGGTCCCCCCACCCCTCCAACACCAGCCAAGGTAGCAGATGCCCGAGAGCACAGGATGCTGCAGGGCACAGGGAGGAGGGCTCCGGTGAGGTTCTCAGGCACCCTGGGCAGGCACAGGGCACCAGCAGCAGTGGAGGCCAAATCAGCAGAGCCCTGCAGTGAGCACTCAAGGAAGCAGAGGGCCAGGGGTGACCGAGTGGTAGCGTGACGCAGGAGCAAGGTGCCCGTGACCCCCGAGTGTGAATGGGGCGACCCCTGAGTGTACCCAGCAGCTGGGAGCTGGACCGCGGGCTCAGGACTCATCAGAGCTGTGCGGGGCTTACAGAGAGAACGCAGAGAAAAGCTAAAGGAAGTGGCCGGGGAAGGGTTAGCGTCCACCTGCGTAAGTGCAGTGGAGACGCCGTTGACGGGAAGCAGCGGGGTCTGAGCTCCAAGGGCAAGGCAAACCTAAGCCACCAGAGTCTAAAACTCAGGCACTTCTCACGTCCCGACTGAGTTCCAGTCCTGTGACTCTGCTGTTAAATGACCGGGTCGCTGAATGAGGCATTGTACATAGTCCCTACGTTACGATACTCAGAAAAAAGAAGAGGTCTGAGGAAACTCTGACCTGACGACTTTGCTTTTGTTTGCTTAGTTCTTACATGCGGTACTGTGATGTGTAACAGAGAAAAGGTCTCCTGTAATGTACTGCACATGCAGTCAGCAAAACTACAGCACTGCATAAACCAGGTGTACTGTACACAAGGCGACGCTGAGGCTCTGTAAGCAAGATCTGTACCCAGAAAAGACAGGTTGTAAGTCGGAGCAGTGTGCCTCGGTTGGAAGTCTGAAGTCATTAGACAGGTAGGTCGTACACAAGGAATATCTGCAATGTCAGCAGCAGAGAGAGTCCTTGAGGAAGAGGAGGAATGGGGTCAGACTGATGGGAGACTATTTTTTTTTTTTTTTCTTTTCTTGAGGTAGGGTCTCTCCATGTAGCCCAGGCTGGCCTTCAATGTGCAGCAATCCTCCTGCCTCAGCCTCCCAGAGTGCTGGGTTTTCAGGCATGTACCACCATGCCGAGCTGATGGGAGACTTAGGAAAGCCAGGCAATGATTGTACTTTGGCCTCAAGATGTCAAAGAATTTTGAAACCTGAATTTTATGTCCAGCTCAACTGTCACGATGTACATAAACATCAATGCGTTGGTTGAGGTCTCCTGGTGGCCTGGTCTGAAATTCTAAGGGAGTGTTCCTCAGCACAAGGAGTGAGGGGCCTGGGAGGCAGCTGTGAGACATCATTCACATTCCCCAGGTGCCTTAGTAATTAAGGACAACGACATATTCCTATTAACCCACAAGGGCACCCCAGGCCACGGCATGAGGATGTGGACAGGCAGTTGAAGGCAGAGGTCACTGGACCTGGGGTGAAAGACACCGTGTACAGATGTGCTGAGGTAGGCAGCTGTGTGGGAATGCTGACAGCCCTCACACGTAGACCCTGGAGGATATCTGTGTCTGTCCTGGAGGGCAGGAAGTTAGGCTATAAAACATGCAAAGGAATAGGGTAAGAAACCCTAATGGGAACGGTTACAGGGAGGGTCCAGAACAGAGCCCCCCAGGGCATTAGAACCAGCGCCGTAAAGACCCAGCTGAAGGGTGGAAATAGAAGCTTACAAAGGAGAGCTGGGGGCAGAGCCCAGTATTGCATGGCTGTCTGGAGGACACACAGACGTACCTGACAGGCTCAAAATTCACAGCACTCTACCGGCTATACTGGGTGGAAATAAGTACCTGACAGCTGGGGGTTTCACATGCTCTTCATGAAAATCAGCAGGTTGAGTAAGCAAGAGCAATAATCTGAATAAACTTAAATACACACACCATATATGCATCTGTCTATGTTTGCACATTCTATACGCACACATTTATACTTATGTATACAAACTGTATACTTAGCAAATGTTGAAAAGTGAACTTTTGGGGGGGGCACTGGGGTGGAACTGCAGCCCTTGCACATACGAGGCAAGCTGTACCCTGAGCCCGGCACATTAAGAAAACCAAAACTTCCCTCTTCAAAGATTTATAAGCCCAGCAGACTGATGATATTATGACATGAAGTGAGAAATAAAAGGAGAAACAACTACAGATGCAGTATTCAAAACGAGTATTATAAGCCACCATGTATCCATGACTTTGAAAACAGGAAAATGGACAAATTGGGAGGGAACAAAATGCCAGGATTGGTGTGAGTATAGATTTTTTAAAAACCATGCTGAAACTACTGTAGGTACTCAAGTGCAGCCCGAGGGACAGGTCTGCACCCGGCTCTGCACAGCCCTGACACCCCAGCATCCGTGTGCCAGCTCTCAGGTCACCATGAACTTAGCTAACACGACTTGGTCCAGAAGCTGCAAACAAGAAGAGCAGCTCACCTCATTTCACGGGGTTGCTGGAAGCGATTCTCAAACCAGCGGTGGACAGAAAAGCCACCCGCAGACCCCTCACAGGTGTGCAGGAATCCTCCATGAAACTGGAGCTGTCCAAAGAGAAGTGCTGTGAAATAACTTTGGCTTAATCAAGGACAAGATGTCCCCATGCGCTGGGCGAGGAGCATGATGGAAGCAGGAGGCACTTGCAGTCCAGTGCCTGGGGAGCTGGGCCTTGGGCGCCTGGGCAGAGGGGACCTTGCTGACGGTGGTTATGTGCAAGGGTCTGTCCCAGCCCTGCATCCGATGGCCTCCCGCACCCAAGCAGTGACCGTCACTGCTCCTGACATGATGCTGTTGTGTCCTGCAGCTCTGTGGCCTTCTCAAGATGCAGGCTGTGTGGGTGCCGTGGCTGCTGGCTCCGTGTGGGATGCCCTGGAGCTGGACCTCGGTTAAGGATTGGAAGACATCTGCACCATCACGTCACCTCCCCACCCGGCAGAGCTTGGGGGCCCTGGCAGCACTTTCGGGAGAAACAAGCTGGCTGCATGCGGACGTGGGGTGGGGCCTGCCATGTGTGTGGGGCATGGGCTCCTCAGCTTCTGGAACTCCCAGAAAGGCCAACAGGTTGCTGCAGTGATTAAGGACTCAGCAAGGTTGGTGGTAAAACCACATACATCATATAATACATCCAAAGCCTTCACAACCCACTTGTTCTCCAACCACAGCCGTAACCCGCCTAACAACAATTCAAGACAATACTCACCACGGCCAGGAAACCGTACCCACCTGGCAATGAATAGCAAAGGGATTCCTGTCTTTCCACTCTTCCAAAGAGCTTTTATTTCATTATTTATGTATTTATCTTTTTGAGACAGGGTTTCACTATGCAGTTCAGGCTGGCCTTGAATTCACTATGTAGCCCAGGCTGGCCTTGAACTCGAAGTGATCCTCCTGCCTCGGCTTCGTGGGACTACAGTGCTGGGACTACAGGCAAGCGCCACCGTGCCTGACCCAAAGAGTTTTTAAAGACCTAGGAAGAAGGCCTGAACAAATTCAGACAGCAGGGGAGGGATGTAACGTTACAGATGTCATCTCCTACTCCTTCCATCTGGCGCATTCATGGCCTGTTGGATCTGAGGCCACAGGTGGCGGCTGGGGGAGGGGGTGTGGCGTCTGAAATGTGCAGTGGGCTGATGTGAGGACCAGGGAGCGGAGACCGGCGAGGACAGGGGCAGAATTCACAGACTCCAAGTGGCCAAGGGCAGCGGTGGAGCCTTGCTAGGATCAGAGGCCTGCGGGAGGAAGCCATGCATACGTATGGCTTTAGCCTTATGGGGCAGAAGCAGCAGCCAGAGGGCTGTAGGAGAGGCACAGGGGTGCCAGGACCCCAGGGGTGACCCTTGGCCAACAGGGGGCGCTCGAGGGCACGACTGTGTGGCAGTGCCGCTGCGCCGAAGAGCCTGATCCCGGAGCTGGGCTGGGTGAGAGGAGGAAGCATGCAGTCCCGTGGCCCTCTCCTCCATGCGACCCCCAGCTCCATCATGAGTGGGTCGTGGAGGGGTGGGGAAGCGGCTGAGGTCAGCAGCGGCTGCTGCGGTTGTGGCGGGCTCCACACTGCTCCTGGGTGAAGGACCAGTGCCCTGGAACCCCGGCCCTGCCCGGCCGCCCCAGCCCCGTGTCGCCCCTTGAACCACTCAGCTGGGCGCTCAGGTTCGTGGAGATGAAAGCCCACAGCTCATCTCTCTCGATGCTCTGGCTGTGGCTCCCTTGCAGGGTGGCCTTGGGAAGGGCTCCCTGCAGCTCCCCACACCCCACCACGCAGGGGCCTCGGGGTCTGCTTCCACTCGCCTCTGCCCAGGGCGTGGCCTCCGTGGCTCTGGCTGATGTCCTCAGAAGCCTCCAAGGGCCCCTGCAAGCCCGCTGACCCCAGCTGCGGGTGGAGTGCCTTTGGGCGTCAGCTTCCCCATGCAACAGGAGGGTCCTGACAGCCAAGGACCTGCCTTGGCCACACAGCTGGACCGGAGGAGGGGCAGCTGGACAGGCCCTGCTGAGATCTGTCCTGGCCACACCGGCAGCAGGATCATCCCCACGGGTGGGGAGCAGTGCTCCCTAAATACAGGCCACAGAGGACAGACTGAGGTCGGAGGCATCTCTGCGAGAGATGTGTTCACCACAGGCCGCCCGGGCTGGGAGGGTCCCAGTGGGTCGGGCTGGGGACACCTGCCACCGTGGGCTGGCCTGGTGACCCGGCGCCCAGAGATCTCCCTGTGGGCCCTGGGCTGTCCCCTACCCCATGCTACGTGTGCTCGGCCCTTGCTGAGCTGCGACTGCGGCTACGGCTGCTTTCCCCACTTGCAGGTTAAAGCGAGCCCCCTGCCCCAGTGACACGTGAGGACAGGCCAGTCAGGTCTGGGCTTTGCAGCCCCTCTAGCCCATTCTGCAGCGCTCACTGCTGTGCGCGGGGGGCTGGGCTCCCGCCTCAGACCAACTCTGACTGTCCCAGAGCCCCCTTCTCAGCGGGGCTGAGAAGCAGGTGGCAACAGGGCAGCTGGTCTACACCACGTGCCATCCGCCTGCTCCTGTCTGCCAGACACAGCCACACAAGGTCACGAGCACACACGTGCACACCACACACAGCCCCGCCAAGCTGTCCTGGGAGGAGCGGGACTGGCCCAGCCCACCGGCTCAGGGCCCCAACTGCCGGCATGTCGGGCTTGGGGGGACAGGCCCTGTCTCTCGTGACCCATTCCAGAGCGCACCTCTCTCTGAGCGTTGGCCCTGCCCCCTCCTGAGGCAGCCACTGGTCAGACCCCTGCCCAGGCTGCACTGGACTTGACCCTCCCACCGCCCAAGGCCACAGCAGTGCTGGGGAGGCGTGGCCCTCCTGGTGCAGGGTCTCTGCATGACCCGGCCCTGACCACGGCCTCCTGCACCTGCCCCAGCGGCTTGTCTGGGAAGATGCACCCCGATTCCCAGGCAGAAGCCAGGCCCAGGGGGATCAGGGCAGATTCTCCAGCATGTATTGGGGACCCCCACCCCAATAACACGACCCAAGGCAAGAAGGGCCAGGGGCCCATCCGAAGGGGTCCAAGTTGTCAGTCCCCATGGCCATGTCCAGCCCTGCAAGGCCCAGCTGTGGCCACGCTGGCCCCTGGTTGCTGGGGCAGGGCTTTGCCCGCACGGGTCTGGTCGGTGGGCAGATGGGCCAGAGCCAGGGAGCAGCACTGAGCGGCCACGCAGGGGCCAGTCCCAGCCATGGCACCGTGCGGACTTCATGGGGCTTCACGGGGACCGTGGCTATGGCCTCACCTGGGCTCAGGCTCACTGTGGAAACCCAAGTTGTAAAGAAACACTTTACTGTTGTCGAAAAGCTCCCAGTGAGGTTTCCCTGCGGGAGCCACATGCCCCTCCCCTCCTTCCTGTGCCCCAGAGGAGAGCGCAGGCACCACTGGGCTCTCGGGGGCCCGCCTCATCCACGTGGGGAGGAAGGCCACGGGGAGACCGTCTGCGAACTGTCCCCAGGGATGGCTGCAATGGCCCTCAATCACATCAGCCTCGTGCAGCTGCGTGGGGGCCCAGCAGGTGGGGGTGCCACGGCCAGGAGCTGAGGGCGGGGCCAGACTCCTGCCGCACCCTAGGACTCCTCCCTGGAGGGCAGGCGTGCTCGTCCTTCCGCGGGGTCGGAGCCACGCAGGGCCACACACTGGTCGGGCGGAAGCTGAACCCGCCGCGGCCCGGCTCTGGAGCCGCTGCCTCACACATCCGTCTCCAGCCGCAGCCGCTCCATCCTGCGCACATTGCCCTCCACGGCCACGGGGCTGGTGATGCGCCGCGCGAAGTCCTCGGGGAACCAGCCCGTCTCTCCGTCGCGGAGCCGCTCTCCGTGCAGCCACCCTGACCACAGGCCGAGGACGGTGAGAGGCAGGCTGCACCCGCGGCCCCGTGGGGCTGGTCCTGGGGACACCGGCACCCCCGTCCCTCAGAACGGACCCCACGCCCCCCCACCTCCCGCCACCTTCTCACCGTCCTCCTGCTCCATGACCAGCACCACGTCGGCCTGCTGCAATGTGATCTCGTCTGCCTGCCTGGCGAAGTAGGCCTTGGTGACCTCCACCTGGGGCAGCTCTGAGGGAAGCGGTGTGGTGAGGGCACAGGCCCAGGCCCTCAGCACAGCAGAGGGGACGGGCCCCGCATAGCCCTGTCTGCCCTGTGGCTGCAGGGCCCACGCCGGGCCTCTTAAGACACAGCACATGTGGTGACACGTGTCCCGGGCCAGGCTGTGGTGTGGCTGGTCCCCCAGGCTGGCACCCACACTCACCTCCTTTGTTGGTGGGGCCCTGCCACTGCCTCTCCTTGTAGGCAAGCGCTGTGATCCACCGGGCCCGGTCACTCCTGTGGGCCAGGGAGAACATGAGCAAGGCCTCCCTCCTTCCTTCCACGGGTCCCAGGGCACCTGTTCTACTCACTGTCCCCGTACCCCTGTGCTCCAGCCCCTGCCCCAGGACCTTGGCATGGCCGTGCCTCTGCAGAGCATCCCTCCCTAGCCCACAGCCTCACTGCCTCCTGCCTCGGGGCAAACTAAGTGTCACCTGGTCCATAATGAGGCTTCCTCACCAACCCCCCCCACACCTGCCCCTGCCTGTTTTCCCCCTCCACCTCCCTCCCTTGCTCTGGTCACTGGACAGTCCAGTGTCCCCTCCAGGAACACAAGCTCCGTGAGGACATGCTGCTCTGTTTAGGGGTGCTCCCTGGAGGCCGCAGCAGCTCCAGGCACAGCCTGAGGAGCAACGGCTCCCACCCTCCCTGCGCTGCACCTGCGTGGCCTTGGGCTGCCCCTCCCAGGGTCCCCCCCGTCTTACGCGGAGTCGGAGGACAGCAGGACCTGCTCCTGGCGGCCCTCGCTGTTCCGCAGCAGGGTCACCTGGAAGGGGTGGGGCACGGAGGAGCTGCGGCTGCCGCCCCCCGGCAGCGACGGCTCCAAGGGCTCCAGTTTTCGGACCTGGACATGGTCCAGCTGGGCGTAGTCCTGGACCACATAGCTGTCCTCGCTGTGGGGACATGGGTGATCAGTGGGGTTCTAGCCCGACGCTCCCGAGAGCTGACCCCCAGCCTGGCACCGGGGCACAGGGGCTTCACGCTTCCAGGTCCCTGAAGCCTGAGGGAGCCCAGGCTGCCAGCAGGGGGCCACTCCGTGCTGTGTGTGACACGGCCGAAGTGGGGCGCTCAGGGCCGCTCCCGGTCCCTCCCGGCCCACAGCCACCCCCGCCGAGGCTGCCAGCCCGGTGCCCACCTCTTCTTCTTGGTGACGATCAGGACGTCACTGAACAGGAACAAGTAGCAGGTGGGCCGGCTGGCGATTTTCCTGAACAGCCCGGCCTCCTCCACCAGGAAGAGCTCCCCTCGCTTCAGCAGCCAGCGGGAGGCAGAGATCAGCGGGAAAGACTGGGGACAGAGTGGCCAGGTGGACAAGGGCCCGGGCTGGCTGCTCACGGGGGCTGGACAGGGGCCAGGGGTGAGTCACACGTGGGCCTTCAATGAAGGGTGTTCAGCCGGCCAGTCCTGAGTCCCGAATGGACAGTGCAGCACCTTGACCTGGAGCCTGGCACTGAGCTGGGTGGACAGGGGTCGGGCACAGAGCGGAAGGGAGGGAAGAGGCCCGTCGCTGGGCCAGCAGTCCAGCTGCACCCCACCTGCGCCCCTAACGTGCTCTGTGACACCACTGACAGCTCTGAGCCCGGCATCGCCTGGCCGGATCCTCTGCCACGCTGTCCCCAGCTGGACTGGCTGCCTCTTCCCACACCCTCGCCCATCCACCACCAGCCTCGGGACAGGGGCATGAAAAGGGGGCTGCTCCCACAGGGGAAACCGAGGCTGGGAAAGACCAAAGGCACAGCCATGCCAGGTGGGCACCCCTGGAGGCCTCTTGTCCTGAGGCCCATGAGGTGGTCCTGACCTCCAGGACAGCAGGGGGCGCTGGGCGGGGCGGGCACCCACCTTGACCTTGCTGAAGTCCAGCTGTGTGTGCAGCGTGTACATCTGCTCCGTGCGCTCCATGGTGTGCGCCCCCTCGTTGCACTGCTTCACCAGCTGCAGAGCCCCGTGGCAGTGGCATGGGTAGGGAGCAAGGGGTGAGGTGTGGGATGGCCTAGCCCCCTGTGCCCCCGGTCGCCCTGGTTACCTGCCCTCTGGTTGCACTGGCTCCAAGCCTCAGTTTTCCCATCAGTACTATCACATCCTACTGTCTGCGTCATGGGGGGTGGGGGCAGAAGCTGGGACAGGGCTGGGGGAAGAACTGGGGGACAAACCTGGGGCAGGACCCGGGCTGGGCATCCCTTCTCCTGCCCTGACCCCGCCTCCTCTCCTCTATCCTGGCCCCACGGCCACCCTGACCTCACCTCCCCGCCCCGGCCCTGCCTCCCCACCCTGACACCCTATCTCACCTTGCTGATGGCCTTCAGGGCTTGGCTGGCAGCCTTGTACCTTTCGGGGTGGCCCTGGGACTTCAGGCAGAGGGTCTGAAGGAGACACCAGCCGTGAGGGGCCAAGTCCCCTCCTGGAGGCCTGCATGGAGCAGGGCTCCCCACAACTCTAAACCCCGGGAGGCCAACAGGGCGGCGAGGCCCCCAGACCACTCCTGCCGGGCCACAGCGCACACAGCCCCCGACAGGGCCCGGCCGGCCAGGTGGGAACAGTAACAGCCCCACTTCTGGAGCTCCAGGCCGGTGGGTCCGAGGCCATGTGCAGCTGGGTTGCGCCTCAGCCCCAGCTCCTGCGCCTCCACTGCCTCAGCTGGGCTCCGGTCATGTGCATCTGTGTGCAGGTGTGCACGTGTGTGTCTACGTGCACGTGTCCAAGTGTATGCATGCTTGTGTGCTCTACAGGGGAGGGCAACTATGACACCGATGCCTCAGTGACCCCAGTATTCACAAGGTCTCAAAATGGTCATTGCAACTATTCACAGGACAGAGAGGGGTGCAGGGCCTGGGGGGACACGCGGCCTGCAGGTGGGGCATGGGTGGCCGTCCGCCCTGGGGGCAGCAGCCATGCCTCGGGCCCTCGATGCTCACATCGGTCAGAAGGGGCAGCCTGGTCACCCGCTGCATGGGCAGGATCAGGAAGGAGATCATGGGCAGGCCCCCGCACGCTGGCTGCTTCTCGATGTCCCGCAGGGCCTCGCGGAAGGCGGCATTGCTGTTCCTGTGGAGAGAATGCCGCTGGGCCCGGCTGTCTGGGCCGCATGGAGCCGGAGGTGAGGGGGTGAGCGGGGCCCACTCACGTCAGCCTCTGCAGCGTGCGCTGCTGGTAGACCTCGTTGGAGCAGTAGACCACATAGGGGTGGAAGTGCCTCTCTGCGTGCTCCTCCAGGATGTCGCTGATGTCCTCCACGCACACCTGCGCCTGGTGCCGCTGCTCCAGGGCCTTGAAGAACCTGGGCGTGGAGGGCAGTTAGGGCTCGTCTTGGCAGTGTGCTCCAGATGCACACACACATGCAAGACACAGGTGTCTATGCAGAGGTGCATGCACACACACACGCCCTGCAGGAGTTGAACCAAGCTGGAGGCAGCACATGGAGGTGCCCATCAGCTCAGGTCCTACGCAGGATGGGCCCGCAGGTGGCTGGGCCCGCAGGCAGGCAGGCAGTACGCCTATGCCACAGCCCTCCCAGAGAAACCCTGGAACAGACCAGCTCCTTATGCTCCCTCCGTGGCAGTACCCAACCCTATGCCCACCCCAGCAGGAAGCACAGGATGGAGGCACAAGCGCCTGCCTCCTGGGCATGGAGAGGCTGTCCCTGGGGCCCTGAGGGGCAAGGGAGCAATGCCCGCCTCCAGGCACAGGTCCCACATTATGTAGCTCTGCCCACCAAGCTCTCTGGCAGGCTCCAGAACCTTCACTGAACACCACCCACCCTTTTCTAAGGGGGAAGTTGAGGCACGCAGGGAGGCAAGCCGGGCCCCAGGGAGACTCCCGGAGGTGACTGTCAGCCCCTGCCCTCCTCCATAGCCAGGCCCCAGCCTGGGGTGATAGGGATAGACACAGCCAACCCCAGGTCCTGCCCCAGGTTCTTCTGGGCTTCACTGGGCCCACAAAGGCCTCCAGGTGCGTGAGGCTGGTGACCGAGCCTCTGGTCCATCTCTAGGATACCAGAGCCAGTCCCTGAGGCTGCCCGCCTCCCTAGGCCCTGGACAAGGCAGACGGGGCCTCTGCCAGACCACTGACCATCTGAGAACCCCTTGCCCAGTCTTGATATGGGCAGTGGTCCCTTAGGACGCAGCTGTATCCTCTACTCACAAGGAGACCCTTCTGCTGAGCACTATTCTGACAGCCACCTGAGCCTGAGGACCAGGGTCGGGACAGGTGGCCTTGTGGACACGCCAGAGAGCAGGTGGCGCTCTGGACACAGGCCTTCCACACGCACCACAGGGCTTTGGTGGAAAGGTCTGGGACAGCCCCAGGCCACAGTGAGGCCACTGTGAATGGTCACGAGGAGGAGGCCAGAGCCACAGCCAAGGCCTGAAGCCCCGCAGAGGCCAGAAGCACACAGGCTGCTCGGGGCAGAGGGACCACGCCCGGTGGGCAGGAGGCTACAAGGCGGGGTCGACACGGGGCAGGGGCGGCCGCTATCCCAGGCCCCTGCCCTCTCTTCCCCTGCGTCCCACGGCTGCTCACTGAGACCCTGCAAGAAGTGCCTGACTCCAGGGACAGGAAAGTCTCTGGCCCTGACCCCTCATGAACCCGGATTCTAGGGGTCCCAGGGCCAGCAGACTTAGGGTGGGGCTCGGCCAGTCTGGCTGATTCTGACAGGAAGGAGCCAGCAGCCTCCACTGCCAAGGGCCCAGGGGGTACCACAGAGCACGATCCTCTCACTGACCCCAGCAGGCTGCCGGGGTCCCACACCAGCCCTGGGGTCTCCTGGGGTACACCAGCCACCGGGACTGCACCTTCCTGGGGCTGCAACACCCACAGGCCCAGACACGCACATGTCCACAGACTCACACCTGCACGCCCAGTGCCTCCTGCTCCTTCAGGTCCCACAACCAGAGCCCAGGCGGCCATCAGGCACCGCAGAGCCTGACCTGGCAGCACGTGGGCACCACTGCCTGCATCACGCACCCCCCCTGCACACACCTGCGTTATTCAGCTGTCTATGCTAATACCATGGTGTTCAAGAAAGTCCAGGATGCCCTCCACCCAGTGCTCAACCTGTTCCCAAGGCCACTTTTGGTGGCCTCCAGGGCCCTTAGAGGTTGTCATGCTCCCTCCCTCCCAGCCAGCAGCTGGTCCAAACCATCTCCGCGTGGACGCAGACCAGGGCTCTGCCAACACTGGCACGGTGCCAGCCAGGATGAAGGGGCCTTCCTGGCAGCCCACCCGAAAAGCACAGGCCACAACCACGTGGTGGGCTCCACACAGCCTCACCTCTGACTGGCGGCCAGGACGTCCAGGATGTTGGAGAAGAGGTGATGGTGCTCCATCTGTGTCATGGTGGCCCGCAGCTCTGGGGACTGCAGGAACTGGGCCACCAGGATGCCCAGGCTGTGCAGGTAGGAGAACTCAGACGTGAGGATCTCGAAGATGGCCTGTGGGAGCAGTCGGTGAGCCTGCGCCCCGGGAGGCGGGGCAGTGCATGGGCCTGGGCAGGTGCTCGGACAGCAGGGCTGGTCCAGGAGGCAGGAGCAGGTGGGCATGGAAGCACGGAGCCCAGGACAGCAGCCCAGGGTGCGAGCCCACGTCCCTAGTTTGCACTGTGGCTCAGCTACTTAGGAGCTGCAGGAACGGCCGGCCTCTGAGCAGGTGGTGCTCCCCGCAAGGCTCCCTGGGGGTCCACGAGGGGACAGGTGGGGCTCAGACAGTGCCTGGCCCTGGGGAGGGCGAATGGGGCAGCCATGGGGATGGGGGTGGCGCTCCGGGAGCTCGTCCCCTCCCCGGTGCCATGCGGGCTCACCTCCTGCCTCTTGCGCTCCTCAGTACACAGCTGGTCCAGAACACCCGACTCTATCACCTGAGAAGACCCAGACCCAGGAGTCACACCCCACCCCGAGCGGAACCAGAGCCCCACCTCCGTCCTCCCTGGACCACAGCCAATGCAGGGCACAGCCTGGCCCTGGAGGCGGGGCTTGGGCAGAGCACCTGTGGCCTCCTGGGCACAGCTCAGTGACATTGGGCATGAGCTGGCCGGTCCCCTCGCCCCACCTTCCTCTCTGGGGAGCCTCCTGGGGTGGCCCATGAAAAGTGGGGACATCGGAGGGTCAGGCCATGCTGGCGTGGCTCTTGGGAATGACAGCACAGGGGACAGGGGTGACTCACACTCTGCCTAGGCAGGGGGAGACACAGGGCCCTGCCGCCAGGGAAGGGTGGCAACTCCATCCCCACTGCCCACGCCGTAAGCCACCGCCGGTGGCTGCCTTGGCTAGAGCAGGGCTCCCTGAGTCAGGGCATGCCCCATCCCCAGACAGGCTGGGCAGGCCACACCACCACAGTGCCTGGTGCCGCCCCCGTGCCCTCCTCCCTGCCAGGCTGGGTAGACAGGTGTCAGTCACAGACCCGGCCTCAGGCCCTCCTTCTTCCCACGGCTGGGCGGCTGGGTCTGAGCATCCGGCAGCCTCGCTGGGGTGCAGTGCGCTGGGTGCCAGCCCAGAGCTGGGCACAAACACATGCTCTGGACTTTCCCTCTGGGGGAGCAGCCACCCTCGCTGGGCTTCCCACAGGCAGCACAGCACAGAGGGTCTCTCATGCTCCCCAGGCTGGCAAACAAGGAGCCCCACTGTAGGGAGATAAAGGGGACGCCAGGCCCACCCTGCCAGCTGCCCGCCACACCCACAAGCCACAGGGCACAGGGTCACAGTGTCCCCCAGCAGCTGCACGCCCAGGCTCCAGGCCATCGTCCCTGACGCTCTTCCCTCCTCCCACTGGGCAGGGTGCCCCACTACCAGGCGGAGGGGCAATGGGAGCTTCACCCCAGCACCCAGCTTGTGTAGAAACCAAGGCCTAGCCCCGCTCACCCCTACAGCTCTCCACTCGGACTCCCAGGCTCTCCCAGGCTTGGGGATGCCCTGGGAAGGGCTCCCTCAATCCCACAGCACCCGCAGGCCGGTGGGCAGCCCCCAAGGGAAAGGGCAGCGCAGGGCACAGACCAGGGTCCAGAAAGCAGCTCCACCTCCCTGCGAGGACCAGGGCCATGGTGGGCTGGGAAGGAGCGGCTCCGGGGCCTCCTGGCTGCTCCCCCTGCTGGCCTACCTCAGGGAGCTGGCTCCAGGTGACCTGGGCAGGCCGGTAGCTCTTGACCACAATGGTGGTGTCCACCCTCTGGGTCCCCTCGGGGACAGGGGCTTCGTCGAGCATGTCATCATCAGACTCGTGGCTGGTGTTCAGGCCCCGCTCCCGGATCTCCTGGTAGAATCGGGGGTCTGGGGAGAGAAGCAAGGTCACCTGTCTGCTGGGGGGCTCAGAGGGGGCTGAACCATCCCCAGGGCTCCCCAGGACCCTCGAAAGCATCAGGCTGTGTGGGGCCCCCGCAGGCTGCCCACTGGCTGGCGGCTGCTGTGGCTGTGTGGGTCCTGCGGTGGCAGCACAGTGTGGAATGTGGCACCTCCAGGCCAGGCTGAGCGACAAACCAGAGCCCTGTGTGCCAGTGGTGCTGGCAGGGGAGGGAGGCTGGGCGGCGGGAGCCGCGTGCCCCCTCCAGGATCCTGCCCACCAGCGGCTAGCCCCCACCTTGCCCTGGCCCCTGGGGTCCCCCGCCCCTCTCCTGGACAGGGAAGGCCAATGCCAGCTCCTGGGCCTGGAAGACTCTGCAGAGCAGGTGGCATGGCCGCCTACGCCTGGGGCTGTGCCCTGACCTGGCCTCAGCCCTCTCCGGGGGCTCTGTGTGTCCCCTGCCCTTGCAGTTGCGTGGGAGCCCTGGAAGCTGCCTAGACTTGGGATCTGCCAGAGCTGCACGGTCAGATCAGCCCCTGAAGGACCCACGGAGCCCATTTGTCACCCTCCCAGCCACCAACCAGACCCCCACTCTTGCTGTCCCGGCCACTCACCGTCCTTGAAGGAGCCCTTGTGTGCACGCTTCCGGCCCAGCGTCCTCTGTGCAAAGGAGACACAAACGTTAGCTGCTGGGGCTGGCAGGGTGTGGATCTGCAGCAAATGTGCCACTTGGGGGCCCACAGACCTCACCACGGATGTGTAAGACCGTGCCCGAGGAGGGGCTTTGCCCACACACACAGGTGCTCAAAATAACCCCAGGGCTGCCAAGCAGAGGCCAGGACAAGTGGGATGGTGTGCAGTGCAACGGGGCTGAGGGGAAACTGAGGTGTACGGGTCTAGGGTGCTGCCCGAGCCAACAGGGCGTGGGTGTGGTCGGAGCGCGGCCCTGGGGCTCCAGGAGTTCTGAGTGGCTTGGGGGATGCAGAGATGGGTGTGTGCTGGGGGCCTGCGGTGGGGTGGTTACCATCTGGCACCTGGCACCGTCAGTGCCCCCAGAAGTAGGGGATGGGTGAAGGCATCTGGGGCCAGAGCCCTTGGGGAGCCCCTGCCCTGGTTGCCCCACCTGAGCCCTGCTTCTTGGTTGGCATGCCAGGGCCTCACAGGTGCACAGTTCCAGGAAGGCAGGGCCAGTTTCTCAGAACCAGCTGGGGCCTGCGAACTCCTCTCTGGCCAGGAAGGTGGGGCCTCCCGAGCCTGCCCCTCCCCCTTCTGCCCCACACCTCCCCAACTCTGCATCCACTCTACCTCCCCCTCTGCACCCCTCTGCACCCCTCTGTCCTGGAAGCTCCCTGAGGGTGGGGCTGTGCCCCTTGGGCCCAGCTTGGCACCCAGCTGGGGCCTGTCGGAGGTCGTCAGGAAAGGGCGCTGGGCACGGGATTGAGGACAGTGCTGGCTGTGGGGACAGGGGACCTGCCTCTGCCACCCTCAGCCCCTGCATGCTGGTGGCTGTCACCCTGCCAGGGGTCATGCCTCTTCATGCCAGGAGCCAGGAAACAAGGGGCTCCTGGGGGCAGAGGCTGGAGCCAGCACGCCCTTCCCGGACTCCAGCCCGGCCCTGCCCCGCGGCTGTGCTCTGCTCGAGCGTGGCCGGACGGGCTTGCCCTGAGGAGCTGAGCTCAGGGCGGCTCAGGACCTTGCAGGGGCTGCACAGCTGCAAGGCCCCACTCTACCCCATGGGCAGCCACGGAGGGGCGCCGGAGCGTTCAAGGAGACAGACAGCCCGCCGCAGCATGCGTGCCACAGGCTCCCACCCTGCAGTGCTACCGTCTGGAGAAGCCCAGATTCCCCAGGCTCGACAGCAGAGAAAGCCCTGGCTGGACGGACAGAGGGACTGCAGGACCGGACAGGACCGGATGGGGCAGGAGACCAGGAAGCAGAGCAAACAGAGGGTGGGCTCTGAGGGCCTCGCAGTCCCACGCTGGCCAGCCTGGTGCCCACAACAAAAGTCTGCCCCTCACTACAGGGGGGTGGTGACTCAGAGTGAGAGTCACTGTCCCTGTGGGCTGAGCAGAGAAAGGCAAGCTGCCCACCCAGCCCCAGAGCCACTGAGGGAGGCAGGGAAGGCTCGGACTTCACCAGGGCACACACAGCGGGCAGCTGGGTCCCTGTCAGAGCTCTAGACAGTCATCAGAGAGGCTGGCTGCCCCTGGGCTCTGACAGACGCTCTGTTCTGGGTGGGGGCGCCGGTGTTAAGCTGTCCACACCTCACTGCCCGTGTGTAAGGTGAGACAAGGGATGTCCACACCCCCGCCGTCCCTTGGCCTGCACCAGCATAAACTGCCAGCGCCCGGCATGCCGCAGCCAGGCTTGCAAACAGCAGCAGAAGGCGGGGAAGAGGAGCGGATCCGACCCCTCCCCACCTGTGAGCGGGGACAGAGGTAGGGACAAGGGCCCCTACCTTGTTTTTGGCTGGGCACTGGGCGGGCGGCTGGCTGGGCTCCTCAGCCAGAGTCTGAAGTTTGGGGGTGAGCTGGCTGGAGTCCCCCCTGCTGCTCAGAGACCCCAGCCCCTTCATGGCTGCCCGGTATGACTGGTTCCGCCGGTTTCGACTCAGGGCCCCCGCAGGGCCCATATCCATGTCCATGTCATCCAAAGAGAAGCCGGGGGCTGAGAGGAGCTGGGGGTCCCGCCGTGCGGCCTCCTTACTGAGCGTGGCTGCCCCGAAGCTCTGGTGGCGGATCGGGGTCTTGGCCTTGCTGGCCACGGCGAGGCTCCTGGGGATGAGCTGCTGAGTGCCCATCTTGAGGGCCGCGGGGCTCTGTGTGCTCAGGACGATGCCTCGTGGCTCCCTGTCCTCTGTGGGTGACGGTGGGGGTGCCAGGGACTCTGGCTCGAAGGCAGCATTGGTCTTGGAACGCAGGGAGCCCCGGGTGATGGGGAGCTTGGATTTGGGGTTGCCGTTGGCATCCAACTGCAGCTCTGAGTGGAAGCGGTATTCCAGCAGTCTCTCCTCCAAGGAGCTATCAGAGTGCCGCTGGGACATGCTACAGGGCGGCTGCAGGCGCCTGGGGTTCGAGGGAAGGACAGAGGTGAGGAGGGGCAGCAAGGGCCTCGTCCCAGGTCCCCCAGGCCTGCACCCCTCCTGCGCCTGGGCATCTGCCATGGCACAGACAGTGCCCTGGTACAGACCCAGGATGTGGCACACACAGCCCTGGTCACTAGGAGCCCCCCAGGGACAGCCAGGGGCGGCCCGACACCTGCATGCAGCTCATCTGAGGAGGAAGGCTCGTCCCTGCTGGGCCCGGGGCAGATGCTGGTTTCTGAGCTCAGAGGGGCCAGACAGGTGCAGCCAGGGCTTGATCTGGACCTTAGAGGTCACCCGGCTTCCTCTGAAACAGTGCCAGCAAGTCTTGACCTGGGGTAGGCGGGGTCATCTGCATGCCTGGGCCCCAGGATCCTGCAGCCCTGGACTAGAATCCTGGCTCAGTCCCTCACTGCCACCTGGACACCTGGTGGCCACAGGGCCTCTTGGAACCACTTGCTCGCGGCCCCTGGGGGCACAGTCATGCTGCTCTGGGACCTTTCCCGAGGTTGGCATCAGAGGGCCCGGCAGTGACCACAGCCCTGCCTCACTCCACGTGCCCGACCATCCACTCCCGGGAGGCGCAGGCTGTCGGAGGCCTGGGGCTGGGACCACATAGCACAGCATGGCGCAGAGCAGGACCTGCGCCCAGGCCTGTCCACTCCGCCTTCTCCCGTGGCCACGCTGGCCGTCCGTGAAACTTCCCTCGGGGCAGGGAACACGCTTTCACGTCCTGCATTTCTGACTTGGAATGGGGTTGCTGATCCCATATCAGGGCCTCAAAGGGCACAAGCCTGAGCCTGGACCCCAGCTGCTGCGAGGGCTGCCGGGGACATAGGAGTCGGCTGAGCTCCAACCCAAGCCGAAGCCCAGGATGCCTTCCCTGAGCTCCACACCTGTCACTGCCACCTCTGCCCCTGAATGCTCTGGCCCCTGGCACCCGGTGTCCCTTGTCCGCTGTCCTGTGGCCCTACAGTGACACTGCCGGGCCCTGACATAGCCAACTTCCTGCTTCCAGAGTCAGGCAGTGTCACCCCTTCTGTCCCCTGGGGTCAGCACAGTCCCAAGATTGGCTTTGGCTGGGGGAGAGACGCAGTGAGAGGGGACATGTGTCCCTGCGGGCAGACCCTGTAGGCTTGGCACGTGATGCACCATGGCACCCTGCCCTGCTGTGTGACCATGTGCTGCATGTGCTGAGGAAGCCCCAGACAGCTGAGGTTGTGACAGTGCACACCCGGCGGGGGGAGAGGCGGCGTGCACACCCAGCCAGGGCGGGTCCTTGCACACCCTGGGTAAGCCAGGCCATTTCCAAGCTCCTGACTGGCCCTCTGAGGTCTGTCCTCACGGCTCTCACCATGTCCCTCTGATGCACAGGGTTCCCCAGTTTCCAGGGATCTGGAAACCTGATGTTCTCAATAAGCAAGGGCGGCCACCCACCTCAGTTCCCGGATCCATAAGCTGGGCACAGTAGAGCACCACCCACCTCCAGGGGGCGCTGTGACAAGCCTGCAAGGTCCCACAGGGAAAGTGTTTGGAACTGGGGTCACATGGGCAGTGACAGAGGCCCCTCGGAGTCGCAGACCAGCTCTGTCCCTCAAACTGGACTGAGGGGCCTCAGGGAGCTCCCAGAGTGCCACGGAGAAAAGTGACTTCTTTCCTTATTTTGAAAGCAAGGAGCCCCCTCCCCAGCAGCCTCGTACCTGCCCAGACCCTCGAATGTGATGAATGACAAGAACCTCGGGGGAGGTACGTTTCCCAGGTGGGAAAACAAGGCTCCAGTCACCGGCCGGCAGCAGTGTGAGGCTCCGCGCCCGGCTTAGTGCTGGGACACCATGGTCCGTGTCATTTTTCCCGTGGATTAGGAAAGGAGTTCACACACACCTCCCTCCATGATTCCAGAGTTCAAAAATTAAATAATTAACTTCAGACTAAGGCAAAGAAAAGTCAAATGCAACAGGTCAGTTTAACACAATTCTAAATTAAACCACAAACCCCAATAGAGCACAGCTGACGAAGTCACTGATGAGACACACGTGACTGAAACCACGTAGGAGCCCAGTCCAACCAAACGTACAAGCACAAACGACACAGGTACAAACCAAACCCAAGCTTACGATCTGATTACAAATCATAACTGTGCTAACAACAGCGTTCTCCGGCAGACCTGAATCTGAAGGTCTCTTCAGACTACTGAGTAGCACCATACCTGAGCCACCTTCACCAAAAAAGGGAAGAGATTACCACCCCATTCCCCAAAAATAAAATCCAGTAAACCTGCAAACACATCGATATATGAGAAAGATTAAATCATAAAGGGGTGTTTTAAAAATTAATCACAGGTAAGATTCGATCTCGAAGACATGGTTAACGCCACAGCCATCAGTTTCAACCCTAAGGTGGCTCCAGTGTCTTCGAAAAGCTCCCAGGATCCCAAGCCAGAGGTGAGCGGGACTCTGGGGTTGAGGGCTCCCTGGGCCCAGGAGACCCCCACTTACTGTAGAGCCACCAGGTGGGCTCATCCAGGCCTGGAGCCTGCATCAGTCCAGAAACGCTTGGGGAGGGGGGACTGGTCACCACGCTCGCCCGGGACAGGAGATCCTTGCTAAAACCATGCCGGGAGGGAAGGAAGGAAGGCAGGAGGGGCTGAGACTCCCAGCCTGACCTCCCCCCTTCGGAGGAGGCACATTCCTGAGGACACATTCCTGAGGACATTCCCAATCACAGGCAGCCACACCAGACCTCCCTGGGGCCTATCGTCTGTGACGGGTGGTGTCGGCCAGGCAGGGCTGCCCTAGGTCACACACCCTCGTTACCTCATCCGCTGCTTACCCAGGCCTGGAGAGACACTGGTGCATTTAGCTGTAAGCCCAGCAAGAAGTGAGCACCCCAGGGTGGGGCGGGGGTCACTGTACCCTGAGCAGCTTTTCAGTCTGTTTACCCTGGGGCATTCTGTGTGGTTCCACAGGGCCCACACCCCGCCTCCCACGAGCCATGTCTGACAGGCTTCTCTGAGTCAGTGTCCCAGACCTGGCCGGCACAGGTGGCGCGGCCCACCGTGGGCAGCGACGTCTCTGGCAGGGGGCAAAGTCCTGAAGGTGCCCGAAGAGGAACCTGTCAGGTGAGCCGTCGCCTGCAAATCATCGCTGGGTGTTAGCTCCATTGCTAGCCACACCCACAGGCCTGGGGCACCTCCTGCCTGGGATCCAGGCCTCGGAGCAGCAGTGCCCCAGGGGTGTGGGCACTGCAGCTGGGCTCCTGGGAGTGGCGGCCCCTCCACTACCTCATCCACGTCCACGTTTTGGCTCTACTAGCGCCCTATGTGCACACACATGCTTGCAAACCCCAAACAGCACCTGAGAGAGGCCCAGACTGCCTGTCAGGTGTCCCCCACACTGCCCCGACCCCGGAGGCCACCTCAGCAGTACCCCACCGTCCCTCCAAAATGACTTGGCCCACACCGCACAATGGGACTGGGAGCCAGGCCTGCCTCTTGTTAATGATTCCCTCTCTGTTAATTGCCCCAGTGCCCAGTGTCTCCACCCGCCCATGGTTCCAGAATGCAGCGCACTTCCGGGAAGGCTCTGCAGGCCTCGGTCCAGGAACCCCAGACCTCCTTCCCTGCTCTCCTGTCCCGGCACCTCGCTTCACCAGCATCCAGGGCCAGACACTCAGCCTCCTCCCAGCAGCGCCAAAACACATCCTGGCGCTGTCCCCGGAAGCAGCCAGTGTAGGAGGCGAATTATCGAAGGCCTGAATGTTTTCTCCACCTCCCCCTTGCCTGGTCCCCAGCCTGAGTGCAGAGCTGCGGGTGAAGCCTTCCTCGCAGACCCCCGAAGCAGCCTCTCCCATCTTCTGTGTCACTGGGAGGCACCGGGCCTTCCAGCTCCTCTCCTGGGCTGTGCTAGCCCTGAGCAGAGCTCAGGCTTCTGCACACACTTACTGAGCAGGGCCTGGCCGGGGCTCCCCTCTGCTCGCTCCTGGTTTCCAGTCAGCTGTGAGGCTTACCACGTGTTGGTTAATTTCCCCCATTCTGTCCTCTCTGTGGGAAACACCTGCCAATGAGTGTGGAAACCTCTGGCCTTTTCTTCTAATTTCTTGCCTTTCTGCCCCTACTCTTTCCATCCCGCTGCTGTCCTTTTGGGAGAGTCCCTGTCCATCTTCCAGCCTCTCCACCACCTTTTCTTGTCGCTTTCATGTCAACAAAGCTCTTCCATGCCCTCCTGTTACTCCTTGTTCACAGCACCCTGTTCTTGTTTTATGGATGCAACATCTTCCTTAACCTAGTGGACAAGGAAGCTGTTTTCCCATAAATGAGCTTCCTTCTGGCTGGCCGCTGGGGTAGGCGCTCTCTCTCTCTCTCTCTCTCTCTCTCTCTCTCTCTCTCTCTCTCTCTCACACACACACACACACACACACACACACACACACACATTCCCCCTCTGCCTCAGTCCTCCTGTCTGCTTAAACATCTGCCTCAGTATATGCTTCTGTCTAGGGAGGAGGCATCGTGCTGGTGGATGACCCTGGGTCCCCCCCCCACTACACTCAAGGGCACACACTTCTATCCTGGGGGCCCATTGCACACCAGCATCTGCAGCCTCTCCTCCAGGCCGCTGGTTTCTGCAAAGGGGATGCTCGGTTTGTCACTGGGATGTGGGAGGGGCAGGGCTGAGATCATGGACTCTCCCTCCAGGCAGAGCTGGCCACAGTGTTGTGTGACTGTATCCAAGAGGGGCCACACAGGCCACACAGGCCATGGAGCGGATCTACCCGGTAAAGGCAGCCTGGACTTGCTGAGCAGGGCGCTCCTGCAAAGACGAACATGCAGGAGAGAACTTTGGGATGGCTGGCCGCAGCGTCTCACTCCCCCTGCAAGTCTTCGAGCCATTGCAGCATGCGGACACCTCCTGTCCATGTCCCCACAAACTGGGGCTCACATTCTGAGCTGACAGCGGAATGCCTGCGTTGTGTGGGCTCTGCCCTGCTCTCACCCTGCCTCTCTGATCCCCCAGGAGGCTGCAGTCCATGCACAGTTCTGCGCACGATGGGCAGAACCCAGAAGGGCACCCCACGACAGCTCTGGGATGCTTTGGGGGTGACTCCTGCTCAGCCCGGAAAGGCCCCACACACAGGGCCCTCGGCACTCACAGCATTCGCTTTTCTCTATGCCACAGTGGGAGGCAGCAAGCGGAGGGGCTTGGGTGGATCCCTCGAAGCTCCTGGGGCTCGGGATCCAGTGCGGCGGGGGCTGCCTTGCTCCAGTCCTCCGGCCCTGCGTCCTTGCTCCCCACAGATTGGCTTCAGGGACCTCACAGAGCCTGATTTCCTGGCCTCTGGCCATAGCTGCCACCACGACACACATTACCCTGCACTGTGACTTGCTTGCCCTCTGCTGGGGGCCCACGGGCAGCTCTGAGGAGGTCCGTCCTTGGGCCCCTAGGTCCCCCCATCTCCACCCTTGCTGGTGGGGACAGCACTGTCCATCCAACCTCGCCAACCCACAACGACGCCTTTGTACACCGGTAATTCTGCCTGGCCGCGCGTGGGACTTGAGGTCATGCATAATTTGGGAGTGGAATGTGGCCTTGTAAGTCACACGCTAACCTGCCCCATTTGCAAGGTGGCCACAGGTTCCGCTCCGTGTGTTGCCTGGGGTAGCCTGAAAGCATCAGTGTCACCAGTCCTGGCATCACGTGGCTCCAGGCTGTTAAACCTCCCTCCCGAGCAGGATGGCATGACGACAAGGAATGCACCGCAACACACACCCACTGGCCGAGGCTGGGAAGCCCAGCAGGCTCACAGGGTCGCCCTTAACCCTCCAAAGGGATGGGGAGCCTCAGAGGCAGCCTGCTCAGCCTGCAGCACCCACTGTTGCTCTTGGCTCTAAGTCCAGACACTCCTAAACCCACGTCCCACCCTGGGCTCCGCTGGTGTAGGGATCCCCAAAGGAGCACTGGCCAGGGAAGCAGAGCTCTGACTGCCACCTGGACAGAGGCAGGGCTCCTGCTGCCCTGCCCGCGCACTCGGTGTCTCCTGGCTCCAGGAGGGTGAGGGTCAGCCCCTCCTCTCTGCCTGGTGAGGAAGCCACAGCAGAATCTGACCCACCCAGGTCCAGCCAGCGAGAGCCAGCTGAGGAGCCAGGCCTGTCCTGACAGGGTGGCTGTCCCCAGCCCGGGAATAGGGCGCATGGGGTTTGTGGACCCGTCGTCCTCAGATGCTGCTGATGGACGGTCGGTCACCTGAGCACCGAGCTACCGCAGGCCGCACACAGAAGCAGCCAAGACTGACCCTGAAACCGAAACCCAAACCCCAGAGGCGCAGCCGAGCTGGAGCCAGACAGAAGCAGACTACTGTCCCGGGCAGAGGGACTCGGCCTCCACGCGGTCACACAGCCGCACCACCTCTGGGCCTCAGTTTCCCCAGGTGGGGTGGAGACGGGATGCAGTGGACCGAAGTGGCATCGTGGGAACAGGGACTGTGTTCTGCAGCACGCTGCACCCCCTGAGGGGACAATCCTGTCACTCACTTCTCAGAGGACGCAGAGGCCCGAGGCACAAGAACACAGCCCAGCTCGCTCCAAGAGAGCCGCACGGCAACTCGGAGCTGACACAGAGGTCAGGGCCGGCAGCCAGGACCCTCCTGCTGGCCTCCACGGGTGGCCTTGGGCAGCACAGGGCCCCTCGCCGGTGCGCAGGCCGCCACTCAAGGACTCAGGCTCCTGCGGGCCTTGCTGGGGCTCTGGGTGGGGTGTGGAGACCCCAAGGACGAGCCCAGGAGCTGGGCTCCAGGTCCACACACTCAAACTCAAAAGGAACCCCTGCTCCAGTTTTACAGATGGGGAAACTGAGGCAGGGCAGGGCAGGGCACACAGCTTTGGGGAGTTTCCTGCCCCTCCTCAGAGGAGGCGGGGCTGACCCCGGCTGTGTGGGAGGTTGTGTATGAACCCCTAGGTGGCCCTGCCCTGCCGACCTCCGTCCCAGGAGTCCCCGCGCTCCCGGATGCAAGCCTGGCTGCAGCTCCTGCAGGAGTACGGCGCTGCCTGGGGCTCAAGACTGAGGGGCCGTGGATGGGAGACACGAGCGGTGGGACGCTGAGGCTCAGGTGGCCGGGTCAGGTCCCCTCCCCGTCCGCAGCCCAACCCCCGCCCGCAGGCCCCGCCCCCGCGGCCGGGCACAGGCGGGGCGAGGGTGCGCGGACTCTGGGGTGGGGGGCTCGGGGAGGAACGAGGAGGCGGCGCCAGGGTCGCGGCGCGCCCCGAGTGTCCTCGCGGCGGCTCCCGCTCCGGACTCACCTGTGCGCCCGGCTCACCTGCGCAACCGAGGGGCAGCGCCGTCCAACCTGCAGCGCAGCTCCGCCCGGCCCGGGCGCCCGCCCCACTTCCTGGGCGTGGCGTGGCGGGGGCGTGGCCAGGTGGACTGGGTGGGCGGGGCGACGGTGCGGGTAGGTCCAGGTAGGCGGAGTAGTGCTGCTGGGCCAGGTGTGCCCCAGCCGGAAGGCCCAGCCTGGGGATCAGGGTGAGGGGTGGGCGGGGCGGGGCATGCTCAGGGCACCTGCTGTGCACCATCTGGCACTGCCTGCTGGGACACCTACTCACCTGGGCTGGCCTGCGCCC